GTTTTAATTACAGAAATTATTTACTAAATATATTAATTAATAGTCAAGTAAAATTCTAAATTTGAATTATAGTGAAAAGTGAGCTACTACTCTCTAAATCTGAATTAGTAAAAATGTTTACTAATTTGAATTAGTGACTCACTTTTTGCTTTATAATTAGTTAAATTTTACTAATTGTTAGTAACTGTTACTAATAATAATTAGTGAAATTTTACTAATTCAGAAGCAAAAAGTGAGTCACTAATTCAAATTAGTAAACATTTTTACTAATTCAGATTTAGAGAGTAATTTAAATTAGTAAGAATTTTTACTAAATTTTTAGTAAAATATTACTATTTGATTTAGTAGTTTTAATTTTTTTTTACTAAAGTTTTAGTAAAGAGTGACTAAAAATTAGTGAAAATTCTTACTAATTTAAATTAGTAGTTCACTTTTCACTAATTTCGATTTAGAGAAGATTATTTGAATAAAATAAATTTTTTTTTTTAAGTTTCTTTTTAATACATAAAATTAGATATATAAAAATGATTTTTATGAATAAGGAAATTTAGAGTAAAGAGTGAAACTAAATCACAATTATTATTTATAAGTGGTATTTGTAGTGGTTTTAGTTAAGTATAAAGTAAAGCGATTCAAGGCGTACCACAAGTAAGTTAACGTGGTTGTATTAAGCACACGAGAAACGATGAAAGGCCATCGATAAAGGTCTTCTCGAATTTGTGAAGTACGTAAACAGCAAGAACGTATATATATATATGTAGTCTTTGCGGGAAATCGGAAATTCAATATTATAAATTTCCCACACGACATGAGAATTAACATTAATACTTATTTAATTTTTTTTTTGCAAGTTAAATTTTTTTTTTTTTAATTCAAATAAACATTTGTTGAATTTAAAAAAAAAACATTATTTTAATTTGCAAAAAAATGTTTACATTATTATACTACAATTTTATTAAAAAAAAATTTTAAATTCGATTTTTGTTTTTTAATTTCAAATTTTTATTACAATTTTTTTTTTTTTTTTTATTTATTGGAACAAATTATTCACATTTTCTGCGTGTGTAGTTGTAATATTGTTTGAACATATATGAATTGAAAAATTTAAATTTATAATATCATAAGGGTCTCTGTTTTTATGCCACAAAAAATAAAAATTGAAAACTTAAATGGGTGGCTTATATGATGATTTTAATCAGAAATGAAGATGCTTCTAGGAAAAAAATATGACGTTCGTTAAACACTTTCATCGAACATTTATGGCGCGATACTAAAAAAAAAAAACACAAACAAACAAAAAAAGGAATTTTTTTTTCCCGATGTGCGAATATCGGAAATTGTTACGACATATATACTCTTGGGCTTTCAATAAAGAGGATCGAGGTCGTGTGTATATACTATATTTATATATACGTTATACGACGAAAATACAAAACTCGAAAAATAAGCTTCATCGAACTTGTACAGGCAGGAAATATCGAACCGCGCGTATATATATATGTATATACAACCAAAAAAGGGGCTTTTTTTCAATTTTTTTTTTTCTTCTATTTTTATTTCTCACTATGTCGACGAGTCTTTCGAGATTGAATTTTCAGGGGTGGATAAGAGAGCGATTTTTTTTTTTTTTTTTATCTTTTAATCCCAAGCGTGTAAGCTCAGCTGTGCAAACCTAGTGCTTTCTCCGCGTACACTTTTTGATATCGATATAGGTTTCGATTTGATGCTTTTTGAGATGCGGTGTACAAGATATCACTATTCTATAAATAAAAAAAAAATCATTTTTCTCCACCTTTTTTTTTTTTTTTGTTATACCTGCGGAAATTTGAGACAATTTTTTCTCTTTTTAATGAGAAGCAATTTTTAAATATAATTGAAAAAAAAATGCAACAAAACTTTTTAATTATTAAAAAAAAAAAATTTAATGAAATTTTTATAATGAAAAATTATTATTATGAGTGCATCATTTCACCTTTCTTATATTAACGTTTTTCAGGGAGAAAATGAAAAATTGTTCATTTTTCTCAAGTTTATTGTATGAAGAATTTTTATTACCTTATATTAAAAAAAAAAAAAAAACAAAGAAGAAAAAACAACTTTAAAAAATTTAACGAATTTAAGAAATTCTAACATCTTTATGTATATTTTAAAGAATTTTTCTAACGGAAGAATTCGAAATATATTTTAAATCTGAATTAGTAATAAATTTTTGTATTAGCAAAAATTTTTAACTTATTTTTTATTTAGTAAAACTAATTTTTTGAATTAATAAAATTTAATCAATTAATAGTAAAAAAAAAAATGTTTTTACTATAAAATTAGTAAAATTGAACTATATTAATACTGAAAAATATATTTTTATTATCGAATTCATCACACTAAAGAATAATACTTACTTTCAGTTCACTTTTGACTAAAACCGTTAACATTAGAGCTATTTTTACTGAATTTCAGCCTTGAGTGAATGATTTTAAGTCCTAAAATTGACTTAATCTAGTTTTAAGATTAAAATTACACTAGTTTTAAGGCATTTTATTTTTAAGATGATAACGGTTTCAGTATTTGTTTTTGGTGTGATGAAATTTAACTACTCTCTAAATCTGAATTAGTAAAAATGTTTACTAATTTAAATTAGTGACTCATTTTTTGCTTTAGAATTAGTTAAATTTTACTAATTGTTAGTAAAGGTTACTAATAATTAGTAAAATTTTACTAATTCAGAAGTAAAAAGTGAGTCACTAATTCAAATTAGTAAACTTTTTTACTAATTCAGATTTAGAGAGTATATAATAGTAAAGAAATTTTTTTTTACTATCGAATTAGTAAAGTTTACCTAATAATTAGTAAAGAATTTTTTTTTACTTTCTCTCTAAATCTGAATTAGTGAAAAGTGAACTACTAATTTAAATTAGTAAGAATTTTTATTTATTTTTTAGTAAAATATTACTATATTTGATTTAGTAGTTTAAAATTTTTTTTACTAAAGTTTTAGTAAAAAGTGACTAAAAATTAGTTAAAATTAGTTACTAATTTAAATTAGTAGTTCACTTTTCACTAATTCAGATTTAGGGAGTGAATTAATAATTTTCTGTTACTGAAAGAGTGCGGATTCGTTTACCAATTGAATTAGTAACTCTTTTTTAGTAGAAAACTACTAATTGCTAGTAGAAAACTACTAATTGCTACACGGAGAAAAATGGAAAAACGAATAAAGTAACTTTTACTACTTTAAAAGTAAAATTGGACCTGTCCGAAGTTTCTGCGCATCTCTGGCAACTTTTACTCGAAAAATAGTAAAATTGACTATTTCTGTAGTAAATTTTACTGTTTCCGTAGTAATTTTTACTATTTCTGAAGTAAATTTTACTATTTTTGGAGTAAAAGTTGCCAGAGATGCGCAGAAACTTCGGACAGGTCCAATTTTACTTTTAAAGTAGTAAAAGTTACTTTTTCTTTTTTTCCGTGTAGTAGAAAACTACTAATTGCTAGTTGAAAACTACTAATTTATGGATTAAATCGGCCTATTAATTTAAAATAGTAAAAAATACGATTTACTCCATGAATTAGTAGTTTTCCACTAGCAATTAGTAGTTTTCCATTAAAAAAGAGTCAAAACTGTTACTAATTCAATTTGGTAAACGAATCCTCACTCTTTCATTAGTAGAAAACTACTAATTCGGATTTAGAGACTTTGAATTAGTAAAAAAGTTAACTAATTATTAGTAAAGAAAATTTTTTTACTATTGAATTAGTAAAATTTGACTATAATAGATTTAAAGTTGTTATAGTTAATTGTTAAAGTACGGCAAATTTTTTTCAGTGCACCTCTAAATCTGAATTAGTAAAAATTTTTATTAATTTAAATTAGTGACTCACTTTTTGCTTTAGAATTAGTTAAATTTTACTAATTGTTAGTAAAAATTAGTAATTAGTAAAATTTTACTAATTGTTAGTAAAAATTAGTAATTAGTAAAATTTTACTAATTGTTAGTAAAAATTAGTAATTCGTAAAATTTTACTAAGAATAAAATATTTTTATCATCGTTTTAGTAAAATTGAACGATTTAAAAGTAAAGAAAAATATTTTCTCCTATTGAATTAGTTTTGAACTTATTAGTAAATTTAGAGAGTATGAAAAACTATTTTCAGAAGACATCTAAATAAATTAAAGAATTATAAAATAAGGAAATAAAATAAAGCTGCGCCTATAAGTGAGGCTTAGTTGAAAAAAAAAACCCTTCAGTGAATACAAATTGACGCATATATAGATTATAATTGACTGAATGCGTCAAGCCTAATGGACACTGAGAATTATAATCGACTCTATAAATAATCTCAAGAACTGAACTTCCCCATTGATTCTCGAATCTCGTTCTTTTTTTTTTGAAATCAAAGAAACGGACCAATCGGAATTTATTGTTGCATTATATTGTGCGCTAAGTTTTGCCTAGCATCGATATAAATTTTGCTAAGGTCATGTATAAATGCATTATAGCACATGATATATATCGTATAAGTTTATATGTGACCTCTGTATATATATATATATATATATATATATGCGTTCGAGGATGACGCATATGTTATGCTTGTAGCCTGTCATCTTATTCTGATATTCTATTCGAAAGCATGACAGGCGATCCTTGCCAGAATCGATATAGTTGAGAGATGAATTTATGACTCTATTATTACGTCCTTCCATGGGACACTTTGCCATTGGATATCCTTTTGACGGATAGTATACAGTTTTTCTCACGATTTTTCTTTTTTTTGAAAAGAGAAAATAAATCTTCATTTTTTTTTTTTTGGTGAATTTCTTCTATTTTTGGAAAAGTGTGACTTTTTTTGTAAAAATAATAATAATAATTAATTTCTGTTCACTATTGAATAAATTAGAATTGATTGGCCTTAAAAAAAATTTTTGCTTTGACTTTTTTTTTAAAAAAAGAAATGAGAATAATTAATAGTTGAGAAATTTTTGCTATATATTTGTGTTACAGGTGGAAAAGCAAGTAAATTTCGTAACGATCTTCTGCTTTTAGACGATCCAACAACGACAGACGCAACGAAGAAACGTTTTCAATCTGGTAAAAAGAATGTTGAGCACAAGAAAGTAAAGAAAGGAAAGAGGAAGAAACTGAATTTAGACATAACTTTGACGAACATGAACGAGACTTTAGCTTCGAAGCTCGATGTAAGCTGCTCTAAAGGAAAAGGTCTCTTTAATGCTCCTCCTTATCTGCAAAATGCTCGCGCACCAAAGATTGTAAGGTATTAATATAAAAACAAACTTCTTGAATATATAATAATAATAATTTAAAAAAAAAATATTATTTTATTAAAAAAATATATTATTATTTTATTAAAATAATAATAATTTCAGAAAAAAAATTTATATTTTAGTTCTAACATTTCGATTATTAATTACATTAAAAAAATTCCATAAAAACACTCAGAGAAATGGTATATTTGTCTACTAATTCATTTATTTGTTGCATAAAGATATTTTTTATTTCATTAAAATAAAAAATTTATTTGAGCCAAAGAAAAATTTATTTCTGATAAAGAAAATTTTTATTTACGCCAAATAAATAAGTTAGTAGGCTCTAAGACAAATATTTGTTTATTTAATTCAAATATATTTTATTTGGTTCAAATAAATCATTTCTCTGGGTGAAAAAAAAAGAATGGGATACATAATTATTAGTGAGAATTTTCATTTTCAACAATTTTATTAAATATAATTATTTTTTACACAAATTTTCATTTTTCGAATTAACATTTGTCTGAATTTCTTTTTTTAAAGAATTTTTAATTAATATAATTTTTAGACACTTAATTTTTACACTCAGAGAAATGGTATATTTGTCTACGAGCCTACTAACTCATTTATTTGTTGCAAATATATTTCATTTCATTGAAATAAAAAATTTATTTGAGCCAAAGGAAAATTTATTTCTGACAAATAAAGTTTTTATTTACGCCAAATAAATAAGTTAGTAGGCTCTGAGACAAATATACGTTTATTTAACTCAAATATATTTTATTTGGTTCAAATAAATCATTTCTCTGAGTGTATTTGGTAGAATTTTTAAAACACCGAATTTCACATTTGTCCGAAATTATAAATGGCCGAAAAAATAATCTACAGAAAGATTTCGGCGCAATTTTTAAAATCCACCAATCAACATTTTTTTTTTTTTTTTTTTTTGACAACTTTTGATTGGTGGATTTTAAAAAACGCGGCTAAATCTTTCTGTCGATTGTTTCTTCGGCCATTTGCAATTTCGGATAAATAAAAATTCGGCGTTTTAAGAATTCTTGTTAAGTAAAAAATTTGTTTGAAAATTAATTCTGTTAAATGTTAATTCGAAAAATAAAAAGAGCCATACATTTTTTATTCGCTACTTTTTGCTAAAGACTTTGGCATTATTCCCGAGTCATTATCTGGCAAATTTTTTTTTTCGAAAATTTTTTCCCAGTTTTAGTGAGTGTAGCTCAGCATCCGCTGGACCAATCAAAAAGTGCGCCATACATTTTTTGTTCGAGACTTTTTGCTCAATTTTTTGGCATTATTCCCGAGTCATTATCTGGAAAATTTTTTTTTTCGAAAATTTTTCCCCAGTTTTAGTGAGTGTAGCTCAGCATCCGCTGGACCAATCAAAAAGTGCGCCATACATTTTTTGTTCGAAACTTTTTCCCTATTTTATTGGTGGTATTCCGGAGCGATTATCTCGCAAATTTAATTTTTTGAAAATTTTTCCACAATGTTTTTTAATGTAGCTCAGCATCCGCTGGACCAATCAAAAAGTGGGCCAAACATTTTTTATTCGCTACTTTTGGCTAAAGACTTTGGCATTATTCCCGAGTCATTATCTGGCAAATTTTTTTTTTCGAAAATTTTTCCCCAGTTTTAGTGAGTGTAGCTCAGCATCCGCTGGACCAATCAAAAAGTCCGCCATACATTTTTTGTTCGAGACTTTTTGCTCAATTTTTTGGCATTATTCCCGTGCGATTATCTCGCAAATTTAATTTTTTGAAAATTTTTCCACAATGTTTTTTAATGTAGCTCAGCATCCGCTGGACCATTCAAAAAGTGCGCCATACATTTTCTCTTCAGAACTTTTTGACTATTTTTCTGGTGGTATTCCCAAACAATTATCTCGAAAATTTAATTTTTCGAAAATTTTTCCAAATTTGTTTTCTAGTGTAGCTCAGCATCCGCTGGACCAATCAAAAAGTGGGCCATACATTTTTTATTCGCTACTTTTTGCTAAAGACTTTGGCATTATTCCCGAGTCATTATCTGGGAAATTTTTTTTTTCGAAAATTTTTTCCCAGTTTTAGTGAGTGTAGCTCAGCATCCGCTGGCCCAATCAAAAAGTTCGCCATACATTTTTTGTTCGAGACTTTTTGCTCAATTTTTTGGCATTATTCCCGAGCGATTATCTCGAAAATTTAATTTTTTGAAAATTTTTCCACAATGTTTTCTAGTGTAGCTCAGCATCCGCTGGACCAAACAAAAAGTGCGTTATTCATTTATTGTTCCCGACTTTTTCCCTATTTTATTGGTGGTATTCCGGAGCGATTATCTTGCAAATTTAATTTTTCTAAATTTTTTCCTTTCGTCTAAAAAATAACTATATTTAATAAAATTGTTTAAAATGAAAATTTTGTTTAATTTTGTTTAAAAAATAAATTCTGACAAATGTTAATTCGAAAAATGAAAATTTGTGTAAAAAATAACTATATTTAATAAAATTGTTTAAAATGAAAATTTTAACTAATGTTTTTTTAATGGGATAATCATGCGCCCCCAAAAGAATCGATAATCAAATAATTGTTTTATTTTATTTTTTTTCTAAAAACTGATAACATCTGGAATATTTCAAATAGTAATAAAATAATTTTTTTTCTCCCATATTTACATATATGAGTATTTTCAAAAAAATATAATAAAATTTGTTTATATATAGAAGGAAAAATGTGGTTTCATCGAAGAAAAATTACCTTGTTGCTGTATACGAATGTGTGGAAGGATACATTTTGAAGGATCCAATGGCAGATCGCATGTTTTGTAGCAAACGAAATTGGTTGGGAACGATGCCAGAGTGTATTAAAGAAGAAGGTAAGTTCAAATAATACAAATTTTCTTCGAAAGAAGAATAAAAGAAAATAGAAAATATTTTTTTTTTCACAAAATTAACGATTAACAAAAATTTTCTAATTTAAAAATAAAATATTAAATAAAATTTGTAATTAGTGAATTTTTCTTAATTTATTTTCTCATGAGAAGAAAAAAAAAAAAAAATTGATTTGATCGCAATTTCTCCACTAATTGAGTCAATAATTTCGCGAGTTCATTTTACTATGAGGCGACGTTTGATTGGAAACTGACAGGAAGAAGAAATATTACATCGCTTATTTCTAGAGATAGGCGTCACTGACTTTATCGTTGATCTGAAAAAAAAAAAATTTATATGCATCGCGAGAAGTCGAATGAACTACAAAGTCGGATTATTTCCTGACTGGAAAGATCCATTCACATGATGATCTTAAGGCGTTTATATATAAAGATATATGTGTGTGTGTGTGTGTGTGTGTATTGTTTCAGAATCGCTTCAAGAAAATGTTAGACGCTGCGTACCAGACAACGGTGGGTGCGACCATATCTGTGAGGACAACCCCTCTGGGATTCAATGCTCCTGCTATGATGGTTATCGTGCAAATGGAACATCATGTCTCGGTAATCCTCATTTTCTAAATATAATTTCATTCGAAACAAGAGTAAAATATCATTTTTTATAATAATTGTTTATATTATATAATTATTTAATATTTTAATTTAATATATTTTATTGTGACGCGTCGCAAAGAAAGGGACCTTGGAAGCAAAAAATTATAGGTTATGTTTTCCATAATAACGATTCTATCACAAAATTTTACGATCTCATATACCAAACCAAAAATTTCAGTATTATACCAGAGTTAACTACTGGCGCAGTACTGGTTCAGTATTGGCTGCCCAGGCTGGGCAGTCTGTACTGAACCAGTACTGGTATTTTCATTGTATCAGTACTGTTGCAGTACCACCCTCCCAGTACTGGCAAACCAGTACTAAGCCGATATTGAGCCAGTATTGGCTCAAATAGATTTTCTTTTTGATTAATACAACCCAAGAAGCACGTAATATATCCTCAATATCAAGGTAATATTACACGTGAGATTCGTAATATAACGCTGTAATATTACAGTAATCTTACAGTGATCTTAAAATGTCCGCCTCAAGGTAATATTACCGGGAATATTACTGTAATATTAACGGTAATATTACAGTAATATTACAGACTGATTTGAGTTATTCATAAAGCATAAAAAACGTTAATATATTATAAGTCAATTTGGCTTGTTGGTAAAACTCTGGACTCGTGTGCTTTGAGTTCGGGGTTCGATTCCCTGGATGGGTAGATTTTTTTCGTAAAGAAATGTTCCCATAATATTACTGTAATATTCTCTTGTAATATTACCTTAATATTACGGTATAATATTACTGCAATATTACTGTAATATTACCTTAATATTAGCGCGTAATATTACAGTAACATTACCGGTAATATTACCTTGAGGCGGACATTTTAAGATCACTGTAAGATTACTGTAATATTACAACGTTATATTACGAATCTTACATGTAATATTACCTTGATATTGAGGTTATATTACGTGCTTCTTGGGAAGTTTACAAAAAGTTCTGAGAGTGAACCTGATGAATCTTTTTTGTTGAAATATTTTGTTTATAAAAATTTGTTCACTTTGATTTTATTTTTAAAAATTAAAAGTTATTTTATTTTGCTTTTTTGTATGGGTAAAATTATTTAAACAAAAAGTTTCCTGAGACTAATTCCAAAACATTTTGCAAGTTTTTTTTTATTGTTTTCAGATATGCAATAAACCAAAAAAAAAAAAACCAAACTAAAAATAAATAAAATTCTTTATAAAAAAATTAATAATTTTTAAAATAAAAATTTTTTAAAAATTTTCTTGTCAGCACTTGTTAAAAATTAAAAAACAATTTTTATTTTCTTAAAAAAGTTTTTCAAAAATTTATTTTTGATGCAAATAATTAAAGTGAATAATAAAATAATTAAATAGCTAATTGTATAATTATATACATTATAATTATTTTATAAAAATTTTTATTATTACTGAATATTGTTTTTATATATTATAAAAACTTTGGTTTTATATAATAAACATATTTTTGAATTTATTTTTTTGATTTTTTAAAATAATAACTTGCAATATATATTATAATTAATAAAGAATAAAAATTCTTGGTGTTTTCGATTTTATATATAATAAAATAATAATTAGTTAGTTGACTAATTTAATTAACCCCTTCGCAGTCGAGAAGTGGGCCCAAAATGTCAGTAAATTTTTGAATGACCAAAATTTGTGCAAACGTGTATACTATGGTATTTAAGGTCGCTGATTACGATTCCAAAGTCAGATTTTAGAAATTCAAAATGGCGGAGCCAATATGGCGGACGATTTTTCCAAAAAATGGAAAAAATGATTTAAAAATACTTAAAAATTGTTAAACGGGGGTTTTTGGGGTCGCTGATTACGAATCTAAAGTGAGATTTCAAAAATTCAAAATGGCGGAGCAAACATGGCAGCCAATTTTTTTAAAAAATTGCAAAAATGATTTAAAAATACTTAAAAATTATTAATCAGGGGTTTTGAGGGTCGCTGATTACGAATCTATAGTTAGATTTCAAAAATTCAAAATGGCGTTACCAATGTGGCAGATAATTTTCTAAAAATTTAAAAATTAATTAAAATTACTTAAAATCTGTTGCTCAGCGGGTATTTTGAACGTCGCTGTTTACGATATTCAAGTCAGATTTTGAAAATTCAAAATAGCATATAGTATGGGTGTGATTATTATTGTATCCATTTTGAATTTTGAAATTTTGTAATTCTGACATCAAATTAGACATCAGCGACCCTAAAAACCCCCGAGTAACGAGTTTCAAGCGAATATGGTCAATTTTCAAAATGTTTGGTCGCCAATACTGGGTGCCAGTACTGCGCCAGTATTTGCCAGTACTGCGCCAGTACTGCGCCATTAGTAAATTTTTGATTGTGTATATTTTTTGATTTGAAAAATCTGTATAAAAATTATGGAATTTTTTGTATTTTAGCAAAAATGTGACATAATGAAGCGCTTTATAATAGAAAATAAAAAATATAATAAATTATTATTTAAAATTTTAAAGATAGTTATACACAGCCTTGATGAGAGAATTTTAACGCATAGTGAAATATGAGACAAGAGAAAGGAATTAATGTTCTAAAGATGATAATCGCGTGGAACATCTTGTAGGTTGCTAACACGAATCAGATCTTTAAAAGACGTGCTCATGGTTCTTGAGATAATGGAATAAGATGATACTTTGCTGGGAACAAGGTGGAAGGTGGGTGAGGGGGGGGGGGAGATTTTCTGTTCTCTTCTGAAATTCAAGCAGCTTCATCTACATCAAAAATATATGCTAATTGGTGTCATACCTCTCAAAATATAAGTACTCTCTCTCTACATATATAACATTCATTTTACAAATTAGTTCAACATAAAAAATAATACATATATGATAAATAATAATAACAATTATTATTATTATTATTATTTTTTATGTCAAAAGAGTCTGATTGGGAAAAAATAAATTTTGTTTAAAAAAATGTTTTGATTAAACAAAATGTATTGTTGTGAAAAATTTTTTTTTTATTATTTCTTGATCTGCATACAAAATAATATACAATGATTATAATTTGGTTTTTTAATTTTTTTGTTAAGTAAAAAAAATTGATTGATATTGATGTATTTAAATGATATGAAAATATTTTTTTATAAAAAAAAAAATTATAAAGTATCAAGTGCATTACCAAACAAGAACATGTCTGGCATTTTGCTAATCGTCCCAAAGGGATTTAAGCGCCAGGAGCATTGTATACTAATCTAAAACAGAATCTCCTTTATACCGAAAGGATAGAGGGGAACGGGAGACGAAGAAGATGTAGAGAGATCTATTTTGTATGGTATCCTAAGTATTTCGATAGAGAAACACACGTGCACTATTTTCTTGTTGACTATACAACGAAAAAAAAAATAAAATATTTTATTGTACTGCAAAATTTATTCATTGTAAAAAAATATTATGATTAGCAAATTTTCTATGTAAATAGTAGTAAAAAGTAAATTTTATCAGTAGTAGAAACAAATTTTAGTCAGACATTTCATATTCTTGTTATATTTATTTTTAAAAAGACATTTTTTTAAAATTTGTAGAATTAGTAGTAAAAGTCAATTGTAGCCAGACAAAATTCTTATAAATTTCTATATGTAAATAGTCAAAGTAAATTTTAGTCATTATTATTATTTTATTATTATTTAATAATAATAATAATAATAATTTAATAGTATTTATTATTTTAAAATAATATTTTCAATCTTGTAAATATTTAGGCATAAAAAATAAATAAATCAAATTTTAACTGTAAAGGTATTATTTTGTATTTTCAAAATTATTAAATTCGAATTAGTCAGTAATTCTTTTTAAATTATTACAATTTTTATTTGTATCATTTAAAAAATACATTTTTTGAAATTTGGAGTAAAAAAATATTTATTTGATTCAAATATTAGATTTATTATCAAATAAATATTTAATTGAACAATTTTTATTTGAATTAAAATAAATTTTATTTGAATCAATATTTTCTGTATCTAAAATAAATTTGATTCAAATAATAATTATTTGATATAGAAATAAATATTTAATAATAGTCAAGTAATCGAGTTAATTTGAATCAATAAAAAAGTTTTTTAAGTAGTAAAAATAAATTTTAGTCAGACGATTGAAATTTGTGTATTATTATTATTATTTGTAATAAAGGGAGATGTAGTCAGATTTGAACAATTTTTAAAGGTTTTTCTGCTCAGAAAATTATTGTAATTTTTTCAGTAGTAGAAACAAATTTTAGTCAGACATTTCATATTTTTGTTATAAGTAATTATTAATATCGTTTTATTAACACTATATATTTTCAATTTTATATTATATTTTATATATATGATTCATTAAATTTAGTAATATTATTCAATAATTTAGCATAACTTGAAATGAAAATTATGAAATTTAGTTCAATTAAACTTTATCATTATATCAATATATAATTACAATTATATATCGTCACTAATAGATTTGCAATAATAATAACCATTTCTATAAAATGAATTAATATATTAATAAAATGAATTTAAAATTTATTTCTGTATTTAATATATTTTTTTTTATCGACGTATAAATATTATATGAAATTTTTCATTTAAAAATTAATGAAAAACTAATTTTATAGAGTTGAAAAATTGATATGAATGAAACACACCCTCTCGAAAATTAACGATCGTGTATATATAGCTGGAAGGAAAAGGTTAGATTATTAGATCCTCGCCTCATTTCGTTTACAGTGTTGCGGTATAGTGCACTTACAGCAATTCCGTTCACTGATTTAACGGAAATTGGATGTCTGAAGTGTTAGAAACTTAAAATTGTTCATGGAATTATTTTTCATTGAAATTTTTAGACATTGATTTATTTCCCCCCCCCCTCCCCCTTTCTTTTATTTCTATTTTATTAAAAAAAAAAATTAGAATTTATATTTTTATTTTTCAAAAACGAATTTTTCGATTATTTTTATTTTACAAAAAAATGAAAATTCGTGACAAAAAAAATTTTAATTTAATTTATTTTTTATGATCTCTTAATTGAAAAATTACCTCTAGAAATATTTTTAATAAAGAATTTATTCGCACAAAATGACAGTTGCAGAGATAATAATTTTCAAATAAAATAAAAAATATATAAGATCTGATCTGGAATTTATGTACGCGTGCAAGATCAGCATTTATGGTAATGTCTATATATATATATGTATATCAAATTCGTCTCATCTGGAGGGAAACGAAATAATTTTTTTTTTTTTTCCGAATAAAATAATCATAAATTGAAAAAGAAAAAACCTTTTTTTTTCTCGTTACTATTTTGTTTATTGTGAGGAAAAAAGAATTGTGAAATAAATATATATGTTCATATAGTGGAAGTAAATCTATGAAGCGCAATTTTTCTTTTTTAAGATATCGATGAGTGCAACGAAGGGACGTCTGGTTGTTCGCACATTTGTCACAACGATCGAGGATCTTTTCATTGTAAATGTCCCAATGGATTTTCATTGGACGCAGAGGATGCTCATTCTTGTCTCGGTATGTTCTTTTTTTTTTTTTTTTTATAATATAACACAGTCGCAAAAGTTATCCAATTTTTATATAACTCGCGGTCCTCAGTTTCTTTGCGGTTAATTACGAAAAAACTAATTTTAACTCTAATTGAACGAGGTGCGATTTTATCAATTTGGTTCTACTTTTTAATGAGTTTTCTTACGCAATTTTTTTTACCAATGAAAAATGTTTTGGTAAAAATTAAAAATTTAATTTTAAAATTGTTTAAAAATTTTTTTTTAAAATAAAATTTATTTATATAGACATAAATGAATGTTTGACAAATAATGGACGTGGACCATGTCAAGATACTTGTACAAATTTTGATGGCGGTTATCAGTGTAGTTGTATGAAAATACCGGGATATAAATTGTCATTGGATAATCATACCTGCGAGGACATTAACGAGTGTGAAGAAAATAATGCAGGATGTTCACAAATTTGCATGAACACACCAGGAAGTGTATTTTGTTTATGTAACGATGGATTTATCTTGGAGGAAAATTCTAAAATGTGCCAAGGTATATATAGCATAAATTATGTATAGCAATTGTTTAGAAAGAAAATATATATAAATTTACATATATGCGGGCACATTGCCAGGATTATAAATTTTGTAATTTAATCTGTTTTTTTTTTTATTCTAATTTTTTATGCTACGCACAATATAATTATTTATCATTTTTTTTTTTTTTGAACGCATGAATAAGTTCTAAAACAAATTTGTTAGAAATTATATTTCATAGAAATTTAATCAGCAAAATTTTAATTTTTCCAGAAAGTCAAATTTAATCAAATTTTAATTTGGTATAGAAAATTAATTTGATCGAATTTTAATTTCACTTAAATCCAATTTGATCGAATTTTAATTTAGCAGAAAATTAATTTGATCGAATTTTAATTTTACTTAAATCCAATTTGATCGAATTTTAATTTGCCACAAATTAAATGTGATTGAATTTAAATTTTTCCGAAACGTTGTTTTATTGAATATATTATTAGTGCAGAAAAATAATTTGTCAGAAATCTACTTTACCAGAATGTATATTTGGTTGAATATTAATTTGACCGAAAATTAATTTGGCAGAATTTCAATTTGATCGAATTTTATTTTGCCATAAAGTCAATTTCATCGAATTTTAATTTGGCAGAAAATTAATTTGATCGAATTTTAATTTTACTTAAATCCAATTTGATCGAATTTTAATTTGCCATAAAGTCAATTTAATCGAATTTTAATTTGGCAGAAAATTAATATGATCGAATTTTAATTTTACTTAAATCTAATTTGATCGAATTTAAATTTTCCCGAAACGTTGTTTTATTGAATATATTATTAGTGCAGAAAAATAATTTGGCAGAAATCTACTTTACCAGAATGTATATTCGTAACGAATATTAATTTGACCGAAAATTAATTTGTCAGAATTTCAATTTGATCGAATTTTAATTTGTCAGAATTTCAATTTGATCGAATTTTAATTTGCCATAATGTCAATTTAATCGAATTTTAATTTGTCAGAAAAACAATTTTGATCGAAATTTAATTTCTTGCGAAATTTTTTTCTCATAGAATTTTAATTTAGCAGAAAGGTAATTTAATAGAATTCTAATTTAGTAGAATCAAAATTTGACAAAAATTTACCTTACCAGAATGTATATATTTGTTTTGCCAGAAATTCAATTTTATTGAAAAATAAATTTCACCGAAATATTTCGTCATGTATTTAAAAATTTCATCAATTGGAAATATTATCAAGAAAATTGTGATTGATTAATTTTAAATAATTCGCGCCGAAATATTTCGGTCAAATTGATTTTCGGTGAAATTAACTTTCTAAGAAATTAATATTCTTACATTCAGATAAAGTAGATTTCTGACAAATTGTTTTTCTTTACTATTAATATTTTATAAAAACAATGTTTTCGGGAAAATTTAAATTCGGTGAAATTTAATTTCTGCGGCAAATTAAAATTCGATCAAATTTAATTTATGTAAAATTAAAATTCGATTTTCTGCCAAATTAAAATTCAATTAAATTGACATACTGGAAAATTAATTTATCTGCTGATTAAAATTCTATTAAATGTATAACTTCTAAAAAATTTTTTTTAGAGCTTATTCACATTTTTTTAACACTATTTTTTATTCATTAGTTTAATTTTTTTATTTTCACATTTTTTATTTTTTCGATTTTTTTTTATGTTTAAATTTATTAAATATGACTTTTAAATGTATAATTATAGATGTCAATGAATGTGAGGGAATGAGAAAAGTTTGTAATGAATCAAAGCAAGAGGAGTGTGAGAATACTATAGGATCTTACAAGTGTGTTGAGAAACTAAACAAGTCGTCGAAAATCCTTCAGGATGAGGATTACGATGCCGAGGAAAATGACGAGGAAGATGACGACGAGGACGAGGATTACGAGGGAATCACAGAACTTCCAGGATTAGTGAATTGTGAAGAGGGTTTTCGAAGGTCTGAAAATGGCGAATGTATCGGTAAGTAAAGATTTTTTTATATATTAAAAAAATATGACAATTTTTTTTTTTGTTTTGACAATTAATATCTAATTTTATTTATAAAATTGTAATCCATAAAAAAGAAATCGCTGCGAATTTTTCAGATATTGATGAATGCATTGAAGGTGACGGTGGAGAACCCCATGGATGTGAGGAGATTTGTATAAACGAGCAAGGAGGCTACTATTGTTCCTGTAATTCAGGTTATGATATTCAAGAAGACGGAATATCGTGCAAAGATATTAATGAATGTTTAAAAGAAAATATTTGCTCCCATTCATGTGAAAATACTGAAGGTTCTTTTATTTGCACATGTCCGAGTGGATTTACACTAAGTGATAATAAACGTAATTGTGAGGAAATTAATATCACTAAAAATTGTTCAAATTGTTCACATGAATGTAAATATACAAAAGAGGGTGCACAATGTCTCTGTCCATTTGGATATGAACTCGATTTTAATGGTTTAATTTGCATCGATATTGATGAATGCAAAGAAAATCGTTGCTCTCATTCATGTGTGAATTTAGATGGTAGTTTTCATTGTTCATGTCCAAATGGTCTTGAATTGAAAGACGATGAGAAATTTAATTGCACTGATATTGACGAATGTGGGAAAAATCATGATTGTGAATATAATTGTGAAAATATTTATGGTTCCTATAAGTGTAGTTGTCCATTGGGATTGACATTGATTGATGAAAAAAATTGTAAGGACATTGATGAATGTTCAAATCACAATTGTTCACATCAATGTTGGAATGAAATAGGAAGCTACAGATGTCTTTGTCCATTGGGTTATGAACTATCAGAAGATTCATTAAACTGTAGAGACATTGATGAATGTCAATTAAATCATGATTGTTCACATTTTTGTCATAATACACCGGGAAGTTATAAATGCACTTGTAAAGAGGGGACAATAATTGAGGATGAAAAAAATTGTCAAGATATTGATGAGTGTCTTAATAATCATGGATGCTCTGATGATTGTATTAATACTTATGGAAGTTATTATTGCTCATGTCCATCTGGTATGAGTCTAGATGAAACGGGGAGAAAATGCACCGGATGTGTAAATATAAACTGTTCACATGATTGTATTAATGAACAAGATACATATAGATGTACATGTAGAAGTGGTTTTATTTTACAAGCTGATGGTGTGAATTGTCAAGATTTGGACGAATGCCAAGAAGATGAACATGATTGCTCACATGATTGTATTAATACTTTAGGTAGCTACAAATGTGGCTGTCCAAAGGAATTAAAACTACTGAGTGATGAATTGACGTGTGGCGATCCATTTTGCGCTGAAGGATTTAGAAAAAATGGTTCTGGTTGTCAGGACATTGACGAATGTTATGAGGAGGATCATGAATGCTCGCATAATTGTATTAACGTTTATGGTTCGTACAAGTGTACGTGTCCAAATGGTTTTCATTTGAAAGCTGATCATGTCACTTGTATTGCTTCAGATCAATGTAAAGATGATATGTGTTTAAAGAAATGTATTGTGGAGAAAAATGGTTGTGAATGTCCATGGGGTTATGAATTGGAAGACAATGGTTCAAATTGCAAAGACATTGATGAATGTGCTTCAATGAATAATAATAATTGCAGTCAACATTGTCAAAATGAAGAGGGATCATATTCTTGTATTTGTTCATTGGGTTATCGACTTCAATGGGACAATCATACGTGTGAGGATATTGATGAATGTTTGGAGGGTTTACACGATTGTAATATTTGTCGTAATCTTCCCGGAGGTTATAAATGCGAATGTCCATTGGGTGAGAAATTTGCCGAGGATTCGAGAATTTGCATTTTTGATGATATTTGTCCTATTGATCATGGATGTTCGCATACTTGCGAGAGGGATAGGGATCAGACTAGATGTGGTTGTCCTGAAGGTTTTGAACTTGATGATGATGAAAAAACTTGTAAAGACGTTGATGAATGTTTAGAGGCGTCTCATGTTTGCACGCATAATTGTATTAATATTGAGGGTTCTTACTATTGTGAATGTCCAGTGGGATTTGAATTGATTGACGATAAAAAAACATGCGAGGATGTTAACGAATGTCTACTTAAATATCACACGTGCTCTGATTTTTGTATCAACACTAATGGAAGTTTTATTTGTGCCTGTCTTGCTGGTTATGAACTCAAGGAGGATCATGTGACTTGTATAGATATTAATGAATGTTTCGCTGATCATGAATGCTCTCATTATTGTCAGAATATTGCTGGTGGTTATAAGTGCTCTTGTCCTGATGATATGATGATCAATGATGATCAAAAGACTTGTAAAGAATTTGATAATTTAACAACGGATAGAATTTTGGAAACTACGATGGAAAATTTCAATTTTACAGAAGAAGATTCCACTATGGAAACAGGTACAGATAAGAATTTGGATTTTAATCAATGTTTGTTGGAAAATTGTAGTGATCCTTGTGAAAATTTTGGTTGTTCTCACGAATGTATTCGTATTATGACAAATGAAAGTGTTTTGAAAATTGAATGCAGATGTCCTGAGGGTTATAATTTAGTCAATGATGACAAGACTTGTAAGGATATTAATGAATGTTTCACGAGCAATGAAATAAATAGTATTTGCTCGTATCGTTGTGTAAATACTGAAGGAAGCTTTTATTGTGAATGTCCCAAAGGATATCAAATTGGTCCAGATCGAGTGAATTGTGAAGATATAAACGAGTGCAGTGATAATAATGCAGGATGTTCTCATTTTTGTATTAATATCGATGGTGGTGTGGAATGTGCATGTCCAAATAATTATAAACTTGAAAATGATGAAAGAACTTGTATTGAATTTAACGAATGTTCAGTGAATAATGGTGGATGTTCTCATTATTGTAATAGTCAAGAGGGAAATAATTTTTGCTCATGTCCACAAGGAATGATTCTTGCTGAAGGTAATACAAATTGTATTATAGAAAACAAATGTCTAAATAACAATGGTGGTTGTTCGGATATTTGTAATTTTATCAATGGTACCATTTTATGTGATTGTCCTTCAGGATTTCAATTAGAGGATAATAATAAATGTCTTGATATCGATGAATGTTTAAATAATATTGATAATTGTCAACACGATTGTAACAATAATTATGGATCTTTTGAATGTAAATGTAAATCTGGTTTTGTTACTAATGCAGAAGACAATACATTGTGTGACGATATTAATGAGTGTTTGACGAACAATGGAAATTGTAGTCAAGGTTGTATTAACACTGTGGGATCATTTAAATGCTCTTGTTTTATTGGTTATACTCTAGAAAATGATAATTCCACTTGTATATTATCGGACGCTTGTGGAATTGATAATGGTAATTGTTCACATCATTGTCATCAAGAAAATGAAAGGACAATTTGTTCTTGTCCACCGGGTTATAGATTGAAATCAAATGGAAAAAATTGTGAGGATATTGATGAATGTGAGGAATTTGAAAATGATGTGGAAAAAGGATGTTCTCACAAATGTATTAATCATGATGGTGGATATCATTGTGAATGTCCTGCGGGTTATGTTCTATTTGCCGAGGATAAAAAAACTTGTATTGATTTTGATGAATGTTTATTGTCAAATCATAATTGTTCTCATAATTGTTTGAATCTTTTGGGAAGTTATCTTTGTACATGTTTTGATGGACATTATCTTCATTGGGATAGATCATCTTGTTTTGATATTGATGAATGTTTAGAGAGAAATGGTGGATGTTCTGATTTTTGTAATAATACAATTGGCGGATATTCATGTAGTTGTCCACAAGGATATGAATTGTCAATTGATGAGAAAACTTGCATTGATGTTGATGAATGCAATAATGGAATGGCAAATTGCTCCTACGATTGTTTAAATATTTTGGGATCTTGGAAATGTGTATGTCCAGAGGGTCAGGATTTGGCAAATGATACACAAACTTGTATTGATATTGACGAATGTCAATTGAACAATGGTGGATGTTCTCATGCGTGTTTTAATGATCATGGAATTGGAAAATGTAGCTGTCCAATTGGATTACAACTCATTGAGAATGATAAAAATTGTATTGATATTGATGAATGTTTAATGGATAATGGAAATTGTTCGAATATTTGTATTAATTTAGAGGGGACATTTAGATGTGATTGTCCCAATGGATATTATTTGAAAGATGATATGAGAAATTGTCATGATATTGACGAATGTAGAGGGGAAAATGAATGCTCGGATATATGTTTAAATACAGAGGGAAGTTATTTTTGTAAATGTCAAGATGGTTTTTATTTGACAAAAGATGGAAAAACATGTGTTGATATTAATGAATGTGAAATTAATAATGGTGATTGTCCACATATTTGTATTAATGAAATGGGATCATTTCATTGTGATTGTTTGGCTGATTATCGTAAAATTAATGACACTTGCCATGCTCTTAATCCCTGTATGGAAAGAAATGGTGGCTGTGAACAAAATTGTAAAAATCAAGATGGATTTGCTGTTTGTTCGTGTGTTGAGGGTTTTAAGACGATGGAAAACGACACAACAAGATGTATTGATATTGATGAGTGTTCTGGTCCACATGGATGTCAACATTTTTGTATCAATACTTTTGGCTCTTTTCAATGTGGCTGCAATAATGGATATGCAGTCAAAAATTCTTCTTGTATTGGTAAGATCACTTATATGATATTAAAGTTGAATTTTAATGATGATGGATTGAGAATATTTTCAGTTTTTTAATTATATTAGAAAATTTTATTTTATTTTCAATTTAATTAAAGTGGAAAAATTAATTAATCCTTTTAATTTTATTAGATATTGATGAGTGCCTTGAAAGACCATGTAACGATAGTAAATGCATCAATGCCATTGGGAGTTTTCGATGCGAGTGCAATCCGGGTTATCGATTCGAGAATGGTGTTTGCGTAGGTTTGTAATAATTCTTTTTATTGAGATAAGAGTCAAACGTGAACAAATCAAAATTCAATTAAATTCCTCTGTAGATATTGACGAATGTGCCATGGGACATTGTCGAGGTAGTTGCCTGAATACACTTGGTTCTTATAAATGCACTTGTGATGTTGGTTTCAAATTACATGGAACCGAATGCTTAGGTTAGTATAACAATATTCGTCAAGTTAAACAAAAAAAATAATTGTCTTTCTTTTTAGAAATTAACGAATGTGAAACAAATAACGGTGGTTGCGATCATGATTGTTTCAATACTATTGGATCATTTTTATGTAGCTGTCGATTAGGTTACACACAGGATACTAGGTATGTTTTTCTTTTTTTTTACAAATTATTATTTGGGTATTATAATGATTGATAATTTTAGGGATAAGAGTAAATGCGAAGACATTGACGAATGCCAAAATCGAAATGGAGGTTGCGATAGTGTGTGTGTAAATACAGAGGGAAGTTATCACTGTGTTTGCAGCAATGACACAATTTTATCTGACAATGGAAAGACCTGCGTTTCCCGAATTTCGAAATGTCGTGCACTAAAAGTCCCACTCTATGGAGAGGTATAATAGAAAATTTATAAAAATTAGAAACTTTTATGTAATTAAAAACTTTTTCTATAATTATTTAATATTAAAATATATTCTAATGGAAGAATTAATATTTTTTTTGGTTCTTAATATAAGATTCGATGCCCGGGTCATTCATCAGGTGCGACAGATTATCCAATGGGTGCACGTTGCTATATTAGATGCCATAATGGATTCAAGCTTGAGGGTGCTCACGCTCGAGATTGCGAGGCCGAAGGTCGTTGGAATGGGAAGGAACCAAGTTGCATTCGAGAATACACTCCATTGGATCGTCCCTTCTACTCAGGTTCATAATTAGTATATATACACTCACACTCTCAGCTCCTTACTCCATTATATCATTACGATAACAACGTGTTAGGATTACAACACAATGTTTGCAAAATCAGCTGCATGCGTTCAATTAGTCAAATGGAAGCTTTAAACAGCTTTTAATAATAGAAAGTCCGGTTGTTGAGCTTGCTGCTAACGAGGTCATACTTTAACGCCATGGCCTTAACGAGCTTACCAGCTCTCGTTTAGCTTTTTAGTTCTCGTTCTCCTTCTTTAAACCGACTTTTTTGCACCATTGCCTCTTGACTTGTTTTACCTCTCATATTATTGTTTCGGCTAATGAGTGTACAACTTTTTTTTTTCAATGCGCAACAATAATATTGTTTAAGTTTTTTTTAAAACTCAATTTCAAACATTTTTTTTATTTCATAAAATTAGTGACGAAATTTTATTTATTAAACTACCAGAGAGGAAAATTGATAGATATTATATCAAATATGGGACAATCGAGCGGATTATATGAAATATTCTATATCCTGGGATTATAAATATGACGTTTATACGCGGATAATTTAAATTATAAAAGAGATTATTCAGGGATTATAATTTTAAATATTCACGAAATGATCAACAAAAATTAATTTTTTTACTATTAAAAATAAAAAATTAAAATTATAAATTTTCTAATACTAATTCACTCTTAGAAAAAGGAAGTAAATTTAATCAAACATGTGAGTTTTTACTTTGTAGCTTGATTATCGAATTTACACGCGAGAAGATAAATTCACCTTGTGGAAGTGATGTATATAGAAGGTGGCAGAAAGGTGGCAACTCATTCGAATCTCATTTCAGACATGCCGCGACCATACATCAGGTGTCCGAGTAGCGTAGACGTGGAACTTTCGTCGAGGCAGAGAACCGTTCGAGTTTCCTTCCCTCAACCCAAGTCCAACGTGGATTGGTGGAGGTACTTTTCTTTTGTTACTTTTCTTTTTTTTTTTTTTTTCTTTTTTTTCATGTCCTCTCGAGACACTTTTACTTCGAGCTCTTGAGGTCCGAGTTCACAATGACTCTTCTTTTAAGATTTTCTTTTTTTTTTTTCCTCTCGAGATGTGGATACAAGTGTATATCGATCAGCTTTCTACTATATATATATATATATACACACATGCTATAAATTCCAAACGAGATTAAAACCAGTTCAAATCAAGCAGCCGTCAATCATTCTCAATTCAATCTCCATTGCCGACAAAAGTTACATATATAAGTTATATAGCAATCACAAGTGTGTCCAATAATTTCCCTCGATAATAATAATTGTGAAAAAAAAAAAAATTTCTTTCAAATAGAAAAAAATTTTTCAACACACAATTTTAATAAATTAGATAATAATAAAAATAAATAAAGTTAATCAAACATTTGGTTCAATAAAATTTACTGTATAAAAAGAAAGTACTAAAATACAATGAAAAAAAAATTTATTTGATTCAAATACCGGTGTATGTTTGGTTATTATCAAATAAATATTTACTTGAATCAAATATTTCAGTATTTGAATCAAATATTTCAGTATTTGAAGCAAATACCATTTATTTGATTCAAATAAGAAATATTTGATTCAAGTAAATATTTATTTGATAATAACCAAATATACACCGGTATTTGAATCAAATAATTTTTTTTTTCAGTGTAAGTATCCATTTTAGGTATCAAAATAGAAACCATAGAAACCCCGCACCATTTACATGAGAATTTATGGGGTCCGGTGAAATTTTCTGCAACTTTGAACTTTTGTAGTTTTTTGACCTCCTGAACAAAAAATGTAAATGGCAAAATTCCAAAAAAATGGACAGATTTTTTAAAAATTGAGGTTTAAGTTTAAAAAATAGTGTTAAAAGCGAAAAAAATTCAAAAATGAATAAAACCAAAACAACTAAACAAACTTTCTTAAAACTCGTTAAAAAAAATTATTTTTAAACCTTTTTTCGCCAGTCTGCATCGGGTATTTTGAATTTTGAAAAACTATCATCGAATTCGTAATTAGCGACCCCGAAAACCCCCGAGTAACAAGATTTAAGGGAATTCAATGTATTTAAAAAAAATCGTCGGCCATTTTGGATCCGCCATTTTGGATTTTGAAAAACTATCATCGAATTCGTAATTAGCGACCCCGAAAACCCCCGAGTAACAAGATTTAAGGGAATTCAATGTATTTAAAAAAAAATCGTCGGCCATTTTGGATCCGCCATTTTGGATTTTCAAAAATTGACATCGAATTCGTAATGAGCGACCCCGAAAACCGTCGAATAGCGAGTTTTACGACAGTTTGTTTACTTCTTTTGGTTTTACTCATTTTTGAATTTTTTTCTCTTTTATTTTTTTAAACTTAAACCTCAATTTTTAAAAAATCTGTCCATTTTTTGGAATTTTGCCATTTACATTTTTTGTTCAGGAGGTCAAAAACTACAAAATTATAAAGTTGCAGAAAATTTCACAGGACCCCAAATTCCCATGTAAATGGTGCGGGGTTCTTTAGTATCTAAAGTCGTTATTAAATTAAATACCTTTCAATTATATAGTGTTTGAATTTATTTGAATAAACCAAACGTTTATTTAGATCAAATAATTTTTTTTGAATCAAATTAAATTAATTGAAAAATTGTGTTAATAGAAAAAAGGTATTTTTTAGTTAAAACAAAATTTTCTGAGTAGGAAAAATTTATACTAAAAATAGTAATAAAATTAAGATCCTGTTTTTTTTTTTTTTTATTTTTTATTAATTCGAAATTTGGAATAAAATTTGAATTTTGATTTCCCTTTGCAAAGCCACATGAGGGCTTTAAAATTCGATATTGAGAGATATGATTGGCAGCTGTGTGAGTTGGAAAATGCAAGAGAGAAAGTCCGAAAGCTAATCTGGAGGATTTCTGAGTCAGTATTATATATATGAATGACATATATATATGTGCGTTTTAGGGAAGAGGGGGATTATTTTTTTAATACACTCTGAGCTTGATGTAGCGCAGTTTTTACAATGTTTTATTTGTATAAAACTCTCGAGCTTCATGTACATTTGTTACATGAATTTTGTATATTTTGTACACTCCTTTAGTGAAACCAACGGTGTGGTTTAATTTGGTTTAATTTACTGTGTATATTTCTCTTTTGTGACTGCAATATTGTAATGTGACGAGAAACCTAGGTTCGTGGATGCCTCGCCGGCCTGGGGAAAACAATTACAAGCGGATTTACCCGCTGGCATCACTATGGTCACTTTCACAGCATGGTCTCTCACATCCAATTATACCAGTAGCTGCAGGCTCATGATTCGTGTTCGAGGTAAGTGAAATTAACAATTAGGTGACATTTTTTTTTTTTTTTTTTTTTGTGAATCGCATTGTTTGTAAATTTAATATATTTCTTAGAAATTATATTAGGGAATAAGTAATATTTGCAAAAAAATTTTTTTTCACGTTCTTGACTGTTATCTAGAATTAGTGATAAATGACGTAGTTGTTGTGAGGGAAAATTAAGGAATTGTTGTAATTTTTAGATAAGTGGTAAAAGTAAGTTTCAGTCAGACGTAAATTTGGTGAAATCTTTTTTTTAATAGTATTTTATAAGTTTTTTATTTTTTTATAAGTAGTAAAAATGGTTTTTAGTAAGACAGAAGTTCTGTCGAATTTTATTAAATTTTTCTAAGTAGTAAAAATGATTTTTAGTCAGACAGAAATTCTGTAAGATGAAGTCATTTTTCCATAAGTAGTAAAAGTAAATTTTAGCAACACAAAAATTTGGTGGAAACTTTTTTAAAAATTTTTATAAGTAGTAAAAACGAGTTTTAGTCAGACCGAAATTCCGTACGATGAAGTCATTTTTCTATAAGTAGTAAAGGTATATTTTAGTCAAACAGAAATTTTGTGGGAACTTTTTTTAAAAAAATTTGTAAGTAGTAAAAATGGTATTTAGTAAGACAGAAGTTCTGTCAGATTTTTTAAAATTTTTATAAGTAGTAAAAGTGATTTTTAGTCAGACAAAATTTCTGTAAGATGAAGTCATTTTTATTTAAGTAGTAAAAGTAAATTTTAGCCACACAAAAATTTGGTGGAGACTTTTTAAAAAAAATTTGTAAGTAGTAAAAATGACGTTTAGTCAGACAGAAATTCAGTGAATTTTTTTTAAATTTTTATAAGTAGTAAAAGTGATTTTTAGTCAGACAGAAATTCTGTAAGATGAAGTCATTTTTCCATAAGTAGTAAATTTTAGCCACACAAAAATTTGGTGGAAACTTTCTTCAATTCTTATAAGTAGTAAAAACTAGTTTTAGTCAGACAGAAATTCCGTACGATGAAGTCATTTTTCTATAAGTAATAAAAGTATATTTTAGTCAGACAGAAGTTTGGTGGAAACTTTTTAAAAAAATTTTGTAAGTAGTAAAAATGACGTTTAGTCAGACAGAAATTCGGTGAAATCTATTTTTAATTTTTATAAGTAGTAAAAGTGATTTTTAGTCAGACAGAAATTTTGTAAGATGAAGTCATTTTTCCATAAGTAGTAAAAGTAAATTTAAGCCAAACAAAAATTTGGTGGAAACTTTTTTTAAAATTTTTATAAGTAGTTAAAATGAGTTTTACTCAGACAGAAATTCCGTACGATGAAGTCATTTTTCTATAAGTAGTTAAAGTATATTTTAGTCAGACAGAAGTTTGGTGGGAACTTTTTTAAAAAAATTTATAAGTAGTAAAAATGACGTTTAGTCAGACAGAAATAAGGTGAAATCTTTTTTTAATTTTTCTAAGTAGTAAAAATGGTTTTTAGTAAGACAGAAGTTCTGTTGAATTTTTTTTTAAATTTTTATAAGTAGTAAAAGTAATTTTTCGTCAGACAGGAATTCTGTAAGATGAAGTCATTTTTTCCATAAGTAGTAAAAGCAAATTTTAGTCAGACAGAAATTTTGTAAGATTGTGTTATTTTTATTTAAGTAGTAAATGTGCCTTTAGTCAGACATGAATTTCTTACGATGAAATCATTTTTCCAATAAGTAGTTAAAAGTAAATTTTATCCAGTCAAAAATTTGTTGGAAAATTAAAAAAAAATTTATAAGTAGTAAAAATGAATTTTTAGTCAGACTGAAATTCTATGGGATCGTTTTTTAAATTTTTATAAGTAGTAAAAGTAACTTTTAGTCAGACAGAAATTCTTCAAAATGCCAGCATTTTTCAATAAGTAGTAAAAGTAAATTTTATCCAGACATCATTAAAGTTAAAATCATTGTTATTAATTTATATCTATCAGTAAAATACAACTTTAGACAAACTCATTAAATTTTTGGTATAAACTTGTTTGCAGAGAAAACTTTTTTTTAATTTTCTAAATTGGCAATTGTATAAAAAATAATTAGAATCAATAGTAAAAAAATAGTTTTATATATTTCATCTTTGTTTTTTTTTTTGCAGACAATGAAAATCCAAAAGTTCTGACGTGTCCAACATCGTTTGAAGTTAGATTAGAACATGGAGAAGCGGGTCGAATTGTTTTTTGGCAAGAACCCACTTTTGAGGACAATGTCGAAATTGACAGAATTTACAAAACAAGGGTTGGTGACATTTTTTTTTCCGAGTATTAAAAAAAAGTATGTAAATTATAGAATAGAAAACGTAAATATTTATATAGAATTTTCCACGTTTTGAGAATTTTTTTTTTTTTTTTTGGTCTCTTTTTTTGAAGGGTGTTATTTTAGAAACTAATTTTATTTAACATTTTCGTGCTAACTATTAAAATATCTTATTATGGATCTAAATTCCAGGTACATAAACAATATAGTTAATGACAAAAGTTGGAAATTTGTAATTATCCTTTCACTGAAATTTGCCTTATTATTTTAATATTTAATGACCTGTCAGTTATCTTTTGAACGAAGTGTTATGCTAAAACACTAATTTTATTTCTAAACATTTTTTTTTTTTTTTTTTGAATAATTTTTTTCAACTTTTATACGCAGATTTGAAGAATTGACGAATATTTTTTTTTCAAACTAGTCAAATTTTAATAGTTAAATAAAGAAATTCAAAAACAAAAAGAAAACTTGGTTAGTAATTAAAATTGGATTTTAAAATTTTAGTTTGACAAAGATTATCTTATCGATTGTAAAATATTTTATACTAATATCCACGAGAGGTTAATTGGTTTTCGAAACAAGTTTCTCAATATTTATATATATATATATAGAGAGAGAGAAGTGATATATTTTTAGTACAAACTCTCGTGTTCCTAATCAATTTTAATGCCTAAAAAAAGTAATTTTCAATCTAGAGGATTCCTCTAAAATAAATGCATATTTTCCTCTTAATTTTGGTATCAAAATTATTATTCTTCATTTAAGAGGATTTTCCTCTTAAATTAAATGTCGACATCCAAACCTCGTAAAATTGTTTTTAATGTCAAAGCCATCAATAAAATAATTATAATTTCAATCAAATAATAAAATCTTTGCAGAAAATACATTTTTAAATTAAAATTAAGTAAAATTATAATAGTTCATTTCAATATAATAATAAAAATTGTTTTTTAATATAACATTAACAATGTCATGTTTTTGGTTAATTATCAACATTTTATATTGATAATTAAAATACAAAAAATAAGTTTTCATTAATCAGTTGTAATGATCAACGAGATTTTCAGCGCAAAAATAATTTTAAAACATGATGATATGTTTAAAAGTTAACATTTTTTATAGGACAGAAAAAAATTTCATATATGAAATTATTTAACGTTTTAAAACTTTTTTAAAAAAGTAAATAAAAAGATTTAAAAAATTCGAAAGATTCAAAAATGGGGTTATAGTATTTCTATTTACCTGAGTAGTAAAATTTCACAAGAAATATCCAAATTTTTTTAAATCTAAAAATAGCGTTAAAAATATTCATTTAATTTGAATTTAACTATATTTTCTGTATTTTTAATAAAGCAAATCCATTTTTTTGTCCTTTTTGTTGACATTTTACCAGAAATATTAAAACTGAAAGGTTAAAAAACAACTTCACAACTATCATACCCAGGGAAAGGGATCAAACGATTACATTATTTTTTTCCGTTTCCTTTTTTTAAATCTTCTAAATTTAAAACGGAAAATCTTAATTAAAGAGGAAAATACAAAAGGAATCCTTTTGTCATTCTTCCATTAAAATGAAGAATAAAAATATTCTACATTTCAATTGAATAATCTTGTTTTAAGAGGAAATATTTAGAGGATATTAGAAGAGGAATTTTCCTCTAAGTATAAGATTACTTTTTTTTTGGGTGGCGAAAAGGAAAAGGCAGTCGTTTACTGCAATTAAATCACAACACCTGTTCAAAAAGGTTAATTCCTACATTCTGTACTCATTTCCCCAGGAACCTGGACAGCAGTTGTACCCCGGTATTCACAACGTGCGCTACATTGCTTCCGATGCTGCCGGAAATCGAGCTGAATGCCACTTCTCTATACACGTTCGAGGTAAATTTATGCGACACTATTCACGCGCGGGGGCAATGTCACAAGTTTCAATACCGCTTTTATAACCAATTTTCCTCTTCATCTGATATGTGGAACGCAATGATTTTGACTGATTGAGATTACAAATTTTCATCTCGCACTGACATTGAAGAATTGTTATTGAAAATCAAATATATTTATATAAATCATCAAAACTTTCTCTATAAATTTAAATAATTTGCGTTCTTTATTTGCAAATTAGAGAAATAGTACAAAAATTAGTTTTTTCAGAATTAATCGAAAAAAATTTTTTAAATTAACAATTTTAATAATTATTTTTAAATGATAATAAAAAGAATAAAAATAATAACTAATAAAAATTAAAATTAATTAATTAATTAATTACTAATTAAATTAAAACTAACTCTATTTAATAATAAATAATAATAATAATAATAATAATAATAATAATAATAATAATAATAATAACTGAAAAAAATAATAACTAAAAAAATAATTACTTTTTTAATTATAATTAAAAAAAAATAGTGAGAAATACGATAATAATTTGTATCTTTTTTTTTTATCAACAGAGGCTGAACGTTATCAAAATTCTGAGGTAAGTCATTATCAAACCCTTTTGCTCATTTAAAAATAAAAAGCACAACTTTTAGATGTCATTTTCGTTTTTATTCTTATAAAGATTTCTTCTTCATTTTATGCTGGGTCACGTGGTCATACTTTCTTTTTTTCTTTTTTTTTCTTTCTTAGAAAGAGAAAGAAAATTGAGAAAAAGTAAAATAAAACGGATTCCTGGTTGAGAGAAAATGTTACTAGAGAAGTGAACTGTGGAAAAGGGTGGGGGGAGGGGGAAGAAGGGAAAGGGCGCGAGATGTATACGAAAGGTCGAAGGAAAGCCTGATTGTTTCAAGAAAAGTAGATTAAAGCAAGAGAAAGAGAGAGAGAGAAAAGCTTTTGCAGAAGGCATCAATGGAAAGTTTTTGTGTATTTTTATCTCGAAAGATTCTTAATGTCTTTCGCATTTTTTTTTTCCCTACTTTAATTTTACTGTCTATCTACTCCATTACAATAAAATTTTAATTGTTTTTCCCTCTCTTTTATTACTTTCATTTTTCATTTAGTTTTTATTGTTTTCTTTTTTTTTTTTTTTTATAAACAAAATATTGATTTTTATTTATGTGAAATCAATTGAAATTAATTCATTCGAATTTTTATTATTTTTTTTAAAGAAAAATTAGTTGGAATTTTATTTTTCAAAATTATTTTCGATTTAATATAAATTGTATTTGAATTGATTTTATTTATTTTATTTATTTTTATTAAATTATGAATGAATGATGATGAAATGAATTATGAATGATGATTATAATTTTGAATGAATTATGATTTTATGAAATTTTTTTTTTTTTAAATCGAATAATTTGAACATTTATAAATTATTTATATTTAATTTTATAGAACAAAATTTATAAGAAGATGCTAATATGTCCTGATCGTCCGCCTCAAGTAGTGCCTGAAAATTCATTTAGAGTGAGTTAAATATTTTCTTATTTAATTATTATCTTTTTTTTTTTTTTTTTTTTTTTTTTTTTTTTATTTTATAGCTAAAATTAAATAATCTTGTTTAATTTTATCGAAATGGAAAATATACTCTTTATTTTATATGTTCTAATAATAATTTTGAATTTTCGTGATATAAAATATAAATGATGAGAGAGAGAGAGAAACTTTGATCTTTACAGATTCCTCGCGGGTGTTACACCAGATATACTCGTATATTTTCTGGAACGTATGCAGTTCAAAATTATCGTACTCACTCACGTCGACAGGATGAGTATAGCACTAGAGCTGCTGCCTATCATCAAGTGCATCCAATTTTGCGAACGCGACAACAGGATCAAACACGAGTGTATCCCCTCGTCAACTGTAAGTGTATGTGTTGTTGCTTGTGTCTTTTTTCATACTAATTTTTTAAATAATTACTTTTCATCTTTCTTCTCTAATTTTTTCCTTTATATATGTCCAATTTTTTCATCACAAAACATTTTGAAACAAAAAAAATTTAATTCATTTAAAAAAATATAAAGAGAACATTTTTTTTTTTAAATCAAAGAAAATTATTTGTTTTTTTAAATTGAAAATAAAAAGAGAAAACTTTTTTCAAAAAAAAAGGTTTTCAAAAAAAAGAATGAACAATATTTCTAGTAGAAGAAGAAAAATGTTTCAAATAGAAAATAAAATTCATGTTTTTTATTTAAAAATTTAAATATCATAATTAATATTAATTTTTGCATGAAAAGATTTAGAATTTTTTTTGAACTGAAAAAAAAGAAATTAATAATGTTGTCTGTGAGTGAAGCGCATATTATTTGTGGTACGATATACAAAAAGAAAATCAGTGGAACTTTATATTCTAAAATTCAGTGAATAGAATTGAAAGCTTATACTTTATTGTAACTTGTCTTTTGCCACTTTTTCATATATATATCTGCTTTTCTCATTTTTACGATTCTTGGCATCAATTTCTTTTTTCAAAAAAAAAAATTGAATACAATTTCTGTAAATAAATTTTAAAAAAAATTTTTTTTTTTTTAATGTTTCAAAACAAAAAATCATAAAACTGAATTTTGTTTATTTTTCTCAAACATAAACACAATTGGAATTTAATCAAAATTACGTAAATATCAAATAAAAATATCACGGAAAATGTGAAATTAATATTTATATTTGAAAAGCGTATACAATATTTGAAAACACATTTTTAATTTGAAGAAAAACAAAAGAGTCACGTATAACAGAAAATATGTTAATTGTATGACAGATTTTTTTTTTTTTGGTATTGAAATCGAGTTATGTTATTTTTTTTCAAAAAGGAAAAATTGATTAGTTGTGTTTGAAAAAGAAAAAAAAAAAATTGTTAATTTATTTTGATCATGAGGCTGATAGAGTCATTGAGTCCTGAACGAACTCAAACTACATTGAAATCGTCGGGATGTTAAACATCGAAGTGCCAGCAAAATTTGTATTAACCTTACAATCATTACCACCTTTTGTATTGGAAAGTCTTTTTGCATTGGTTTTGGTACTTCTTTTATCAGTGCCAATTATCACCCGAATTTATCAATTTTTCGTATGTATATAATTTTATTTTTCTCTCTAGTTTTTCTTTTTTTTTAATTTAAAAAAAAAAATTTTTTTTTTCCTAATTTGCGTATTTTTAATAATTATTATTTTTTTCTATTTATTGCATTTGAAAAAAAAATAACATTTTAGGATGATTCTGGACAAGATTTTTCAAAGTCATCACTCTCACGTAAAATCAGTTTCTCCACAATTAAACAGCGAACAATTGTTATGCACTATCCAACATCACCGATAAAATCAACATCAAGTTCAAGTCTCAGTTTAAATGTCACACCAATGCGTAATACAATTTCATCGCCAATTACAAAAGCAAGTGTTGATGTTTTGAAAAATGAAAATAAATTAAAAACTATTTTACAAGATCCACTATCATTAAATCAATCAACATCATTTGTAGCGACAAATTTTGAAGTTCCAATTGTTGATATATCATCAGTTGATTATATTGCCTATAGACATAAATTAGTTGAAGCATTATTAAAAAAACATTTCAATGAAAAACAAGCGCCAGGCGATATGGTTTGGAATACAATTTGTCTAAATTCATCAGATTCAAAAACTGAGGGTGAATTTAAAAATAAATTAGGTTATAATTTATTTGACATTGAAGATTGTCCAGAGCCAGGAAAGGCAATTAAAAAAAGAGAATTAGAATATTTACATCCATTGGATCATTTTTTAGTACAAGGATTTAAAAAACCAAAAACATCAGACAAAGCAATTGGAACAAAAGAATCAGAAATTGAAATTGATCATGTACCAGAATTAATTGGTGGCTTAAAGAAAAATAATAATAATTTTTTGTCACGTAGAAAATGCAATAGTAGAAATAATTCACAAATGACAGTTAATAGTAATTTTACTATTGATGTTGTTAATAATAATTCAAATGTCAAAATGTTTCAATTACTTAATAATGAGACTAAAAATTTGTTTCGTCGTTCGAAAGTGGATGTGAAAATTGATAATGATTCACCAAAATCACAAGTATATTTTTGCAATATATTTTTCTTTATTTTAAAATTATGTAATTAAAAAATTTTTTTTTTCCCCACCCTTAGTCGCCGCATTTGACGAGAAAACCTTCCAGAACTCCAAAAAGAAAATTAAGCTGCGGAAGTCTTCAAAAAACAAGCAAATCAGCGAGATCAAGTCAATTTACAATTTTAGATGACATGAAAAATCAGGGAATCGAGGAAAAAAAGAGAGAAGAGCAAAGTTACTTTTCAGCGAGTTCAAGTGAAGTTTGTAGTTTGCCAAGTAAAATAAAAAGTTCCAAATGTTCATTTAGATCAACAAAAAATGATGATAGTCAGCCATTTTGGTTTTTTGGAAACAAGGCAAATTCATTTAATCGAAAATACGGTGTCACACAATCAGGTGGTAAAGTATCATTAGAAAATCGAAACACTAGAGAATTACATAGTAATACATCATCGGCATCTGGAAGTCGTTGTACAACACCACGTTATAAACGATCAATAAGTCCTGAGAAAAAAATTATTATCGAAGATGACAATGAAATAATAGAAAATAAATTGACTACTAAAAAATCTCAAGAAGAAAATAATTTAAAATCAAATAAAATTAATGAAATAAATTATTCAAATTCAATTGAACAAAAAAATTTAACACTTTCATCGAATACAACATTTGATAAATTAAATTGTAATTTACCAAAAATGCCAATTAAAATTTCCAATTCATCAACAATAAGACCATCATCTTCTGGTTCACGTTGTCGTAATTCTGAATCACATTTGCCAGTGTTTATTAAAAATCATCTCAGTAGAAATAGACTAAATTCAGATAGTTTACTAGTTGAAAAGGAGGATTTTAATCGTGATGAAAAATTTCAAGAGAGGCCAAAATATTCCAAAATTAGCCGACTTCAAAGACCAAAAACAGCCAGTCCTATTTTATGTGGTGATACCAAATCAGGAAATTTGAACGATGAACTTAAAAAAAAAGGTATCAAAAGAATGGAAACGTCAAATTTACAAATAATGAAAAAAAATTCGAATCGAGATTTTCATCATTTGGAGAAATTAGAAACGCAGGTGTGAAATTATTATTATTTTTACAAAAATTTACTTTTAATTTTCTCTTGCCTTTTTAGAATTTTTCAAAAAAAAAAAAATTTCTATTTTCTAGAAAAAGTAAATTTTTTTTTTTTAGAGAGAAGAAAATGATAAGTGGTACGAATGCTCGACTCCAATGTCAAAATGGTCTTCATCAAATACTGTTAATGATTCACGAGGTTCAAAATCAAAAACTTGTAGTTTAGCAACGGTGCAAATTTCAAAACAAATTTCCCAAAATCTTGGTGTTACTGAATCAAAGTCAAATGAACCTCGAACTAAATCGAATTTTGGTTTTCAATCGAAGGCAAAATTAACGCAACTAAAAACTGATGAAATCAAAAAAAATTCTAATAGAGAAAATAATAAGAGAAGAAATTTGAAAATTGGCAATGACACACAAAATCATAAAAATAATAAAATCAAGAAAACTTTATCACAAAAAGTGAATTCTCATTCTTCTGTCATTGAGAAATTGTCAAATCATGAGAATATAATTTCATCAGAACAAAATCAAACAAAAAATGAAAAATTAGAAAATCAAATTGTCAACGAACAGTTAAACGTTCAACGATAGTAATTTTTTTTTTTAAATAAATTTTTTGTATTTAGAAATTTGTTTATTTTTGTGTAATTTGTCTTTAAAAGCTGTTTTTGACATTTTTTTTTAATTTTCGAAACCTTTAATATTGTTTTATGAATATAAATTTTTTGCTCTGACCAAGAGAAACTTGCCTTTTTGGTTCACTTGGGAGAGACGTAGAAACTTTCTTTTTTTTTTTTTTTCAGAAAAATATAACTTTTATGGAATAAATTTCAACTTGAAAGTCAAATTTTTTTTGCTGAATATAAAAATATGAAATATATATAAGAGATTTTTAAAAAAAATGTTATTAATTTTGAAAGTAGAACAAAATGTACCAGATGTGTTATTGTCTTGTATAATGTGAGTTCAAAATAGTGGAGGAAACAATTTACAAAAAAGAGAAGAAAATTATTCTTGGTAAAGATAAAAATCCATTAGAGAAAAAAAAAACCTACATTAATATATTATTCTCATAAAAGATTAAATAAACTTTATTTATTATATAATAAACTTTTTTTTCTAAATAGACATTTTTTGATATAAAAACTTTTTTAAAAATTAAAATAAGTATCAAATAAATTAAAAATATGAAATAAATAAAAAAAAAAAAATGATAATATCGGGAAAGTAAGAGCAAATGCACCAGATTGCTTATATGATTGTAAGAATAACTTTTTCAGAAAGTGATAAAAAAAATTGTAATAAAAATGTCTATAATTTTTCTAGATGAACAATCCAGTCAGAGGGAGTATCATTTGCAGCAGTTGCAAAGCCATCAGTATCTGCAAAAGCAACAGATGTTACAAAGGCAGCAGCAATTGCAAAGACAACATCAACATTATCAGGGAACTGATCACAATTCTCGAACAAACGGTTATAGCAGAGGACGCGTTGAAACCAAAATACTCTCCCGACGTAAATGTTGTACGTAGACAAAATATTTATAATATGAAAAAAAAAAAATTCAAGAATCTCCTTGTATCGAAAAATTCACTCATTTTCATAAAAAATAATAATTAATTATTACAATTCATCCAAAAAAAAATAAAAAAACATCTTTAAGAATTAAACATAATATTTAGAATTAACGAAAAAAAAATTTTTTTAATTTTATATCCAGAGCATTGTAATCAAATTATAATAGAGTATATATAGTTTATTTTAAATTTACGCTCAAAAATATACCGGTTTGAATTATTATTATTATTAATAATATAAAAAAAATGTAGTTATACAATTTTTAAATGAAATCTTTTGTTACAAAAAACCTTTATGAAAAGACTCATTAAAAAGAATAATTTAAAATCTGAAGGTGCTGAAGACATCGCCAACTCGGTTTTCTTTTTAACGAAAAAAAACGCCTTTTCTTTTTATATATACCATTTCTTTAAACAACACGAGTCTTTTGTAAATAATCCTTGACTGTTTATTTTTGAAAGACTGCAAAAATGTTGAGATTAAAAAAAATATGAATAAATAAAGAAATATTTATTATAATGAAAAATGAAACAATTTTTTATTTTATTAAATAAAAAAAAAGAAGGAAAAGAAAAAAAATTCAAACATTTTGTATAACGATTAGTTTATAGTCTAATTATTAGGAAAAATATGTATGTGCCTTAAAATATAGTCTAATTTTTGTATATCTAAACTTTTTTATTTTATAATAAATAATGAATAAATTCAATTTTGTAATATATTTATTAGATAAATTTTTATACACATTGTGTCACATATTTTATATATATATATATTTTTTTTTAATATATATAATTGATCGTAATTATTGTATCAATGATATGCGAGTGGAATTACAATAAATCACTTTTTATCATTTATTTTCAATTTTAAAATGATCTCGTTATTATTAACGCCAAAATACTACCATATTCGCTACATTGAATTTCATGATCGAATGAATTTGTAATTAAATTGATATATAATTAATCTGATAATTAATTCGATAAACAATGAATTGATTACGATAATGAAGATTTCAGTGAATTTTCATTGATTCAGTTCACATTACAATTACACGAATCGATAATTGCATTTTCCGTTCACTCAGCAATTCAAACTTTTCTCGTTTTTTTCTCCCCCCCCCTTTTTTCAACTTTTTTTTTCCCCCTTCATTATACTTTTAGGAAAGTGTCACTTCCAGGAAAATAATTAACTGGAACTCTTCGACAGTTAAGAGAGTTCGTTCAGTTGGGGTTTTTTTTTTCCTTTCCTTGAAAAATTGATTTGCAACACTTTTAGAAACTTGAAAACAAAAGTAAATGAAGTTTATATATGTGTTTTTTTTTTTACACTTTTATTTGTATTCACATTCATTCGAGATAAAATTTACTTTTCCATCTACTCTACAAAATTAGTAATAATTCACTCGTAAAATTTTTGTTATTCCAATATGAAAAATTAAATTTTTTTTTTTAAACTCAAATAATAATAAAATCTTTAAAATAATTTTCTTCTTGAAATGAAGAAATATTTGCTGTTATGCTAAATGAATATACAAAAACTATTTATGTGGAAAAGAAATTTTTTTTTTTTAATAGAAGAACCTTAATTTCTATTCGGTAAAACTATTTTTATAGTCAATATTTTAAATTTCTATTTTACGTATGATCTTCTATATATATTCATCATGAGCATGTTGAATAATTTTTCTTCATGAAAAATAATACATATATATATTTAATTTTCGTTAAATAATATTGCAGTCGTTGTTGATCTATTTTTAAATGAGAAAGCCCATAGTAAAAATAGATTGTATATAATATGTGCAAGCAAAAACTGGGTTAAAGTCGTGAGAAAACTTTCAAAACTATGAATAAAAGATTTTTACTTTATTTTTGAATCTTAAGTGAAAATAAAAAATTATTTTTCATGTCAAAAATTCGCACTTTTTTCGTCCCAGGATAAAAGAATGGAAAAAAAATTAATAAAAGTGAAATAGCAATAAATTGTCAACTTTAAATAAATATATATATATATATAGAGAGAATTTTATCTACATTTCAGAAATCTTTTCTCCTCATGTATATAGTGAATGTTTCAATTAAAGTTTAATTTAAATTTTAATTAATATAGGATAATATCAGTCGACTGTACCACTTCCACTTAAATTTAAGTGAATCCTAAACCCAATATCAACTGCACAAATTGCCCCATAAGCAGTTTAAGCTTCAGTTAATTCTCAAGGGTGTTTCTATAATGCATCATATAGTGAAATGTAATATTCTAGTTACAGAGGTGGGTGCTATTTAATTTAAATTTCTTCTTCTTTTTTTTCGAAAACAATAAATAAAAGTTTACAAAAAATAGTAATTCAAAAAATTCCTTTTTAAAATCAATTGAAAGTAAGTTAGAGGGTCAATTATGATAAATATTATTCATAAATAAATTTAGTCATGGATCGTTTTCTGACCTTCGCGAGATTTTATGAGAAGCTTCTTACCCCCGGGCAATAACGTCATTTGTTTCATGTTTCCTTAATTTTTGTGTAGATATACATTTTTATAAATATAATTATGTAAATATAAATATATATATATTTATATCCATATAATTATATTTATTTATTATGTACAAGTACAGAGTGTAATTACGATGTCCGATATAATTTTTCTTTTTTTTTTTTTTTGCCATTTTTAAATATAAAGGAAAATATTTTTGTTCACTTTCATTCGCGTATAACTTTATTTATGGGAATCATGAAGAAAACATATATGTAGGGCAAGAGGGAGCGGTACATCGTGGACATAATTTTCATGCGAAGCGACAGCACAGACATTTACGTAGCTCTGATTACATCCTTGGTAACATATATCCTTCTGGTACTTTAAATCGTTAACCCTCAAGCAAATGCCAGTCAATCACGTGCGACATAATACAACCGACCGCACACGTTCAAAAAAAATTTTTTCCCTCTTTATCTTCATTGAAAAAGAAAAAAATTATTATTTATCACCTCAATTTTCTGCTTTCAATTTATTAATAATGGCAAAAAAAAATTTATATATATATACTATTTATGAATAAATAAAATAATTAATTTTTTACATGTAAAAAATCATCAAAAGAAGGCGTTGTGGGAAAGACTTAAATGTTTTACAGCCGTTGACGAAAAAAAAAGAAAAAAAGGAAGCTCTTGGACTTTAGCGCGACACGATCTTGTTTCTGGTAAAAGCTGAATCCATTATGGGCCGTGTGCTTGAGAAAGAAAATGAGAGATGCAATTTCCATTTATATTACCTTACCGATATTCAGTTCTTCTTTCCAAGTTTTATCTCTCGTTCATAGAATTTTTTTTTCGCCCCCTCCTCATCCCCCCCTCCAACACCCCCTTTTTCATTCTACTACGCCTGACGTAATACAACAGTAAAGATGCACTTCGTTGTCCATCCAGCTTCGTCGCTTGCCTCGTACTCAATTTTGTGTCCTCCAATGCTAAAAGAACGTCCCGGACTCTAGAAAAAACAAATTATAAACATTCTTTGTGTATAAATTATACTAATTTCCCATTTTTTTTTTCTTCAAGTTTAATATATCTTTATATTGAAATTATATTAGAAAATTCTAATAATAACACAGTCGGACACGATTTTTGACTCAAAAAAAAAAAATCCAAACATTTTCGGAAACTAGGCCCTAGTAACTAACTTTTGCCATAGTAACTTTTGCCAAAGCAACTATTGCCATAGTAAGTAACAATTGCCATAGTAACTTTTGCCAAAGCCACTATTGCCATAGTAAGTAACTGTTGCCATAGTAACTATTGCCCTAGTAACTAACTGTTGCCATAGTAACTAACTGTTGCCATAGTAACTTTTGCCATAGTAACTTTTGTCAAAGTAACTATTGCCATAGTAACTATTGCCATAGTAAGTAACTGTTACCATAATAACTTTTGCCCTAGAAACTAACTTTTGCCATAGTAACTTTTGTCAATGTAACTATTGCCATAGTAACTAACTGTTGCCCTAGTAACTAACTGTTGCCATAGTAACTTTTTCCAAAGTAACTATTGCCATAGTAACTTTTGCCATAGTAACTTTTACCATAGTAACTAACTTTTGCCATAGTAACTGCTGCCATAGTAAGTAACTTTTGCCATAGTAACTTTTGCCAAAGCAACTATTGCCATAGTAACTATTGCCATAGTAAGTAACTGTTACCATAATAACTTTTGCCCTAGAAACTAACTTTTGCCATAGTAACTTTTGTCAATGTAACTATTGCCATAGTAACTAACTGTTGCCCTAGTAACTAACTGTTGCCATAGTAACTTTTTCCAAAGTAACTATTGCCATAGTAACTTTTGCCATAGTAACTTTTACCATAGTAACTAACTTTTGCCATAGTAACTGCTGCCATAGTAAGTAACTTTTGCCATAGTAACTTTTGCCAAAGCAACTATTGCCATAGTAACTATTGCCATAGTAACTAGCTTTTGCCATAGTAACTTTTGCCATAGTAACTTTTGCCATAGTAACTGTTGCCATAGTAACTATTTCCAAAGTAACTATTGCCATAGTAACTTTTGCCATAGTAACTTTTACCATAGTAACTAACTTTTGTCATAGTAACTGCTGCCATAGTAACTATTGCCATAGTAAGTAACTTTTGCCATAGTAACTTTTATCATAGTAACTAACTGTTGCCCTAGTAACTAACTTTTGCCATAGTAAATTTTGTCAAAGTAACTATTGCCATAGTAACTTTTGTTATAGTAACTTTTACCATAGTAACTAACTTTTGCCATAGTAACTGCTGCCATAGTAACTATTGCCATAGTAAGTAACTTTTGCCATAGTAACTTTTGCCAAAGCAACTATTGCCATAGTAACTTTTGCCATAGTAACTGTTGCCATAGTAACTTTTATCATAGTAACTAACTTTTGCCATAGTAACTTTTGTCAAAGTAACTATTGCCGTAGTAACTAACTGTTGCCATAGTAACGGTTTTTAAAGTAACTTTTGCCATAGTAACTTTTGCCATAGTAACCTTTGCCATAGTACCAACTGTTGCCATAGTAACTTTTGCCATAGTAACCTTTGCCATAGTATATCTGTTGCCATGGTAACTTTTGCCATAGTAAGTAACTGTTGCCATGGAAACGGTTACCATGTACAACGGACGGTCAAACGGACGCCAAAGCGAAACTATTAAGGCTTTCGGCCCTGGATCACGAAACCCTAAAAATTATTATTATTTTATAAAACTTGGTATCTGTGGGTTTTCGGGGTCGCTGATTATTAATCTGATGTCAGATTTTCAAAATTCAAAATGGCGGGTTTTTTTTTAATCCTATTTTCCGAAAATGTTTGGATTTTTTTGTGAGTCAAAAAAAAGTTGAATTTTGTCGAACGGTGTAATAATAAAAATAGTAGAATAATAATAAATTTTCTATAAGAAAAACTAAAAAAATAAAATTAATAATATAAAAGAAAAATATTTTCAAGATTAAAAAAGTCATTTACAAGTCCATTCAACGGCACTCGAACTTAACTATGGTTGAAGGTAAATTTCAATCACAAAGAAGGCTCAATTCCCAAACGAAGTTAAAATCAAAACAAAGGAGATCTTCTTTGGCACAAGTTTTATTTCTAGACGAAACTTTAAATTGAGAGTCTACTTCCCCAAGGGAAAATTCACCCTTACCATTTTAGAATGCTTTTCACAAAGGTCGTGAATTTTTGTTTTTTTTTTCTTTTTTTTTTTGATTCATATAAAAAATTGTGCGAATAATCTTTGTTTTTTAACATCCACTACTGTTTCTCATATAGTCGTTACAAAAATTGTACAATTTTTTTTTTTTTTTCCCCTTTTATTCCCGGTGCCTCCCTCCCCCCTTCAACCATTCTCATTGTTTTCGCACACCCCACTCGTTTTCGCATATATACAATACCTACTCGTGAATTCGTTTCCAGCACACTGATCGAGAAAAGCCAGAACTTCCGGACGTGTTTCGACTTTCGGAAACCATTTAACAAACGAAAAACTGAATAAATTTCGTTCACAATTTTATGTTGTAAAAAAAAAAATTATGTTTAGTTTTTATTTTTTTGTTTTTTAATAGAGAACATGTCGAACACTTCACTTTCATTATTTATATCGCGAGAATTAAAGATAAATTAAATTACGAGAAGAGTGGAATTTATATATATATATATATATATATATATATATATATATATATATATATGCGAGGCAACATTGTTGCACGTCGCTCTCTGATTGCTGGAGAAACTTGTGTCTGGGGAATTTACGAAACGGAAGCTCTTAATGGAGAGAGCTTTCGTATAAAGTGATTTTAGTTTGTGGTAAAAGACAAAAATTTTTCTCTAATATTTTGTCCCGAATATAAAATTACCACTTTTATTTGGTAAATATTATTACATAAATTTTTTAAAAAAATGTTAAACGATAAATATATACATTCAGAGAAATAATTTATTTGGCGTAAATAAAAGTTTTGTCAGAAATAAATTTTTCTTTGGCACAAATAAATTTTTTATATTTCAATGAAATAAAATATATTTGCAACAAATAAATGAGTTAGTAGGCTCGGAGATAAATATATACAATTTCTCTGAGTGTATATACGCAATGTTTGAACCTACTTCACTGAAATGTAATTGCAACTTTTTCAATTAAACTTAAATCTCCTTTAGAATTCAAATTGAATAAAAGACTCAAAGTTTGAATAAAAAGTATATTTAGTGTTACTGAAATAAAAAAAAAAATTGTACGCGATTCAAAATGTAATTTAGTTTAATTATGGATTTATAAAGTGTTTTTTTTTAAATTAATTAATAAATCGTAAATTATAGTTGAAATGATTATCATTTTCTTTTTTTTCAGTCAAGTATGTAAGAGAAAATAATTTAATAAAACCGAGTTATTTTCTGTATAATAAAGAAAAAAACTTTAATCCATTATATAAAAGAGAGATAATATTATTTAAAACTTTTTTTTTTCAGTTAAGCTTGAATAAATGCAGAATTTATTCAGGAGAAAAAGAAGAAAAAATTCTACTTTCCTTTAATTATTTTATGTTCGTTGTAGATATAGTAATTATATATAAAGAAGCCTTTAACTATAAATGATTTATACAAATTCCATGATATTCATATATAAATATATAAAATATTTCAATTAGAAAATTAAAAAAGTTTTTTGAAAATAAATAAATAATGTTGTCAATTAAAAGTAATAAATATTAATCAAAAAAATTTTTTTTTTAGTACAATTAATAAAATAATTTTATTGATAAATAAATATTAAATTAAAATTGAAAATCTTACCTCATTACTGTGAATTTTCATGACCTTCACGTTATCAGTAAATATTGGCTCCTCCCAATTGACAGCTGAACCATTTTGTCCAGAAACTTCTATATCACTTGGACAATTTTTTACTTTTGGCGCTTCACCATCTGGAAAAAAGAAGAATGGAAAATCTTTTTTTTTTAATTTACAAAATTTTCGTTTTAAATTGGGAAATGAAAAGTTTCGTTATTTATTAGAAAAATCTTTTTTTAATTTTTTTAATATATGAAATAAAAATTCATTTGAAATATTTATTTTATTATTTATATGATAATAAAATGATGGTAAATTATTATATTTATTAATAAATAAAAGTATATTTAATAATAAAAGAGAAAATTATTTTATAACTGGTTTGAATGTTTAATTGGAACATGTATTAGGAAACAATACGAATATGTTAGTAATGCAGTGCGAATGGTTTTGGGAAATAAGCATTCGGATAATTTCATCTCTAAAATCGGTGTCCTCTTCTTGGCGAAATTGTGGTTTTCCCTCGGCGGTGATATAATTAAACGTATTTAATTAAATCAAGTCGTATTCATCATATATATATATATATATATAGTATATAGTGTTTTGACTAGTCTTTGAGAAGTGTAAAATAGATTTTGCACATGACAAATACTTCATATCTCATTTTAATGATATAATATTTTTTCAATATTTTTTTCTTATTATTGAGACAATTTAACTTTGAAAAAAAAAAATTTTTAATTTTTCGATTTATATATAAAAAATAAAAACACTTTTCATCAAAAATGAAATTTTTTTTGTTGAATAGTTCGATGGATTGTTTAATCAAAGCTTTTTTGTTCATAAAAAAAATTTTTTATTCCTAACAAATATATTTTTGATTTTTAACTTTTCCCTATACTGTCTTTTTTTTTTGCAATAAACTGGATTTTAATTTAAAACATTGTGTTTACTTTTTTAGGTTTCTTAATTAAATTGTAGAAAAAAATTTTTTTTTTATTTATTTATTTCGAATGTATATATAAAATCTGAAAAGTGAATATCAACAAAAATATAAAGAAAAATAGGTATTACAAAAGCTGAAAATGTATAGATAACGATATTGTTTCAAATAAAAAAAATTGTTTCTTTTATTTTTTATATTAAATTTTATGAAATGAATAAAATAAAATTGAATTTTTAATTAATATATAGAAATAAAAAATAAAATGTTTGACTAACTTGTAACGATTATTCGTAAAGTGCAGCTAGTTTGCTTCTTTGAGACAGGATGACGAGCATAGAATGTGACTTCATGAACACCCAATTTTAGATTAGCTTCCAGTCTGGTGCCCCAAGTTGGCTTAGAACGAACATATCGAAACCAATCTAAATCCGTTGATGGTTGATCGAACGTTACAAATGCTTCATCTCGACCCGGTGATAGTTCTGCAGTAACATCTGCTGGACAATCCAAACGCGGCTTACTGTATCCTGAAACAGTCGGGAAAAAAAAAAAAAATTTTCTCCAAAATTCTTTAAGCAAAATTTTTAATTAAAAAAAAAAAAAAAAAAAAAAAATTACTTACTGACACATTCACCATGCTTTGGACCATCCCAAGTGCCATTTGGACGACAGGTCAATTCATACTCGCCATGAAGTTGATAGCCAGCGGGGCATTTTAGAAAACATTTTGTTCCTGGTTGATTGTCATTTTTTTGCTTGTCCTTCCATGATTTTGATGATGAGGACAGAGAACACATCAAGTAACCATGACCCGCAGGATTTAAAGGTGGACACAGGTAGAAGTTGATGTCTATTTTTTTTTTAAATTAAAAAAGTATCACACTAATTTAAAAGTACACAGAAAATTAAAAGGCATTAAAATAAGCTGCAACGCTTATTATTTTAATCCAATTTTGCTTATTTTAATACCAAAATGGATTAAAATAAAAATTGTATTAAAGTAATAAGCGTTGCAGCTTGTTTTAATGCCTTTTAATTTTCAGTGATATTTTTGGTATCAATTTAAATACTTTTAAATTACTGTGACAAATAAGTGCGTTGGAAAAAATAATAAAATATTTTAAAAAGCCAATAAATATAATCATTTTGGAATTTAATTTATTGAAAGTAAACACGGAATTGTATAGTCGAATTGATGACATGCAATAGTTTCACAATGTGCACATCGGATTATGTTTACTGGTGGATACTACATTTGCAAGCATATCACAATATTTGCATATTATGCCTATGAATCAAGAATATTAATGCCGGTCAACGTGTATCAGAAACATGTTCATAAACTTGCGATGACATTATAAAGTTATTATATTGTATTAATTTAAAAAAAAAAAAAAAATGAAACAAATATAGTTAGAAAATTTTTTGTTCAAACTATGAATTTTTAAAAAGGAAAATATAATAATTTTCGTTAATAATATATAAATCATATTTAATTTTTGATAATATATTACCAGTACAAGATTTTCCATCAGAAGATAAAATTCTTTCATCGCCATCACAAGCGCAAAAGAAGCTGCCAGCAGTATTCTCGCATACTTCATTGCACCCACCATTGCCTTTGGCGCACTCGTTTATGTCTTGAACAGAGCAAAGTGGGTTGTAAAATATTCGAGATAAATAGAATCACCTTAGAGACGCATAAGTTCCCTCTATTGGGGGTGGGGGGGATTTTTTTTCTTTCTTTTCAATTTACATTCAAAAATTCACTTATATGTAATAATCAAAGATGAATGAAATTGAATGCGTAAAAAAATCATAACTCCTTCGCATAAATTATAAAAAAAAAAATACAAAATTTTCAACAATATCAAATTTTTTTTTATTGGTAAAATAAAAATAATGATTTTTCTTTTCTGTAATATATTTTGTTAAAAGTATATATTTATATTGATTTATAGTTTATAGTTAATATGATAAACATAAAGTGTAAATATTTACGATACAGAACACGGTAATTACAAACCTAAATTGGATGAAACGAAACTCAGGAACTTGATTACGTAGTCGAAAAGGCTTTGGGTATATATACAAATATTAAATATGTTTAAAAAAAATAATAATTTGTTTTTTTTCTCATGATTCCAATTAAAATTTTATACACTAAAAACTTATATATATTTAATGATTAAGAGAATTTTTTCAAATCTGACAGAATTAGAAAAAAATCCCAGGTGAAAAAATTAACGTTACTAACGTTACTAATGTTACTAACGTTAGTATCTATAAAAAAAATTAAGAGTTTCATAAAATATATTTTCACAGAAACTTTGCCACTACTTTCCCATTACCACTTTCACTTCCACTTAAACTTTTTCTAATTCTCATTCGCATTTCCATTCTCACTTCTACTCTTTCTAATTCTCATTTTCACTTCACTTCCACTTTGTCTAATTTTCATTCCCATTTTCACTTCTACTTTTTTATATTCATTGCTACTTCCACTTTTTCTAATTTTCATTCCCATTCCTATTTCCACTTGTTTCAATTTTCATTCCCTTTTTATCTTTCACTTTTTTATTTTCATTACAACTTTTTTATATTTTCACTTCCACTTCCATTCCTAATTTTTTAAATTTCCATTATCACTTTCACTTTTTCTAATTTCCATCCATGGTAATTAAAACCCAGGTAGAAAAATTAACATTACTAACGTTACTAATATTACTAACGTTACTAATATTACTAACGTTACTAATATTACTAACGTTACTAATATTACTAACGTTAGTACCAATAAAAAAATTAAGAAAATGTTTCTAAATTGTATTTTTGCAGAAACTTGTCGAAAATCACTTCCACTTTTTTATTTTCATTACCGTTTTCACTTTCACTTTTTCTAATTCTCATTCCCATTTTCACTTCCACTTTTTATAATTTTCATGCCCGTTTTCACTTCCACTTTTTCTAATCCTCATTTCCACTTTCACTTCCACTTTCACTTTTTCTAATTTTCATTCCCATTTTCACTTTTTTATTTTCATTACCACTTCCACTTCCACTTTTTCTAATTTTTATTCCCACTTCCCTTTTTCTAATTTTCATTCCCACTTCTACTCCCATTTTTTCCACTTCTAATTTTCATTAGCTGTTGCCATTTCGACTAAAACTCTTTCTAGTTTCCATTTACACAACCATTTACACTTTTTTTAATTACAATGGATGGAAATTAGAAAAAGTGAAAGTGGTAATGGAAATTTAAAAAACAGGATTGGAAGTGGGAGTGAAAATATAAAAAAGTTGTAATGAAAATAAAAAAGTGGAAGATGAAATGGGAATGAAAATTGGAACATGTGGAAGTGAAAGTGAAAGTGAAAGTGGGAATGAGAATTAGAAAAAGTGGTAGTGGCAATGAATATAAAAAACTGGAAGTGGAAATAGGAATGGGAATGAAAAATAGAAAAAGTGGAAGTAGCAATGAATATAAAAAAGTGGAAGTGGGAATGAAAATTAGAAAAAGTGGAAGTGAAGTGGGAATGAGAATTAGAAAAAGTAGAAGTGAGAATGGAAGTGCGAATGAGAATTAGAAAAAGTAGAAGTGAGAATGGAAGTGCGAATGAGAATTAGAAAAAGTAGAAGTAGAAATGGGAATGAAAATTATTAAAAGTTTAAGTGGAAGTGAAAGTGGTAATGGGAAAGTAATGGCAAAGTTTCTGTGAAAATATATTTTAGAAACTCTTAATTTTTTTTATAGGTACTAACGTTAGTAACATTAGTAACATTAGTAACATTAGTAACGTTAGTAACGTTAATTTTTTCACCTGGGAAAAAGTGGAAATGGTTGGGTAAATAGAAATTAGAAAGAGTTTTAGTCGAAATGGCAACAGATAATGAAAATTAGAAATAGAAAAAATGGAAGTAGAAGTGGGAATGAAAATTAGATAAAGGGAAGTGGGAATAAAAATTAGAAAAAGTGGAATTGGAAGTGGTAACGAAAATAAAAAAGTGAAAATGGGAATGAAAATTAGAAAAAGTGAAAGTGGAAGTGAAAGTGGAAATGAGGATTAGAAAGAGTGGAAGTGGGAATGGAAGTGCGAATGAGAATTAGAAAAAGTGGAAGTGAAAGTGGTAATGTAAATAAAAAAGTGAAAGTGAAAATGGGCATGAAAATTATAAAAAGTGGAAGTGAAAATGGGAATGAGAATTAGAAAGGCAAAGTTTCTGCAAAAATAAAATTTAGAAACATTTTTTTAATTTTTTTATAGGTACTAACGTTAGTAACATTAGTAACGTTAGTAATATTAGTAACGTTAGTAATGTTAATTTTTCTACCTGGGAAATATTTATTTATAAATTCGGAATAATTATTATGATAGCAACCATTGCTAAAACATAGAATAAATTTTTTTATTTTAATTAAATTTTTTTTTTTTTTTTTAATGAAATATAATTTGAAGAATTGTATATATTTTTTAATTTTTCGGAAAGCTATTAAGAGAGAGGCAGTGCCATATGGGAGTTAATTCGATTTAGTACTTAGATTGCAGCACGGCGGAGGCTGTTGTGAAGGGGTCACAAAGTTGAAATCTCGTTAGGACGCTGATCTCCCATGAGAAGGGTTGTTATCAAAGAGTATCGGTTAGTCGTTTCTAACAAACCACGAATAAACTTTGCTAACTGACCATGGTGATTTTCTAGGTGAAGATGAATTATCAACTATTCCCAGTTTACAATTTTCCTTTAACTAAATTATTGTATTATCAAATATAATTCAGTCAATAAAGCTCGTTAAGGCAATTTCAATTATGGTTATTAAATTACTATACAATATATATAGATTTTGTGTAAATCACAATATTCCAATTTTCCATTTAAATAATAATTTAATTAATTTTTTTTTTGCATATTTAAAATTTCATTAAAATTATAATCTTTTTAGATTAGTGTTGATTTTTTTTTTTTGGTGAAAAAAAAGGGGGGGATAAAGGAGATTGAATGGAAAAGGCTCTTTTTCTAAAGCCTCTTTACTGGCTGCTGTTTAATGTTTAAGCTACTTTAAAAGCCATTGTTCGTGCGGTAGATGATTCCTTCGAGAGTTTTATACTTAAATTTCAAACGAAAGCAACTCAATCAGCAATAAATCGCTCTTTCGCAGTTTTTTTTTTGGGGGGGGGGAGGAGATTCCTGATAACTGTCGAAAAACTTTTATGGAGCTTTAATTCAGGTCAGTTAGTTAAAATTTTCGCTAGATTGCATTTTTCTATTAAGTGATTAAAATTTCTCATATATTCAAAAATATTTAAAATTAATTCATATAATTAAAATTATTAATAATAATTAAAATTGAAATTATAATTGAAAATTTTTGAGTGAATAATTTTAAGAGAATGACTTACCAAGGCAGGAGCCATCATTTGAGACTTGATAACCAGGTAGACAACTATTTGGCAAGTCTACAGCAATGGGTTGATCTTTCAGTTCTTGAGGTTCAGCACATCGATAAGATCCAGGTGTGTTGATGCATCCATAATGGCAAACTTCCGTCTGAAGGTCTGGCACTGCACATTCATTCACATCTGCGACAAACATTAACTTTTCAAACTACAATATATTCAGATTTCCACGAAAACTTTTACTAACTCCCACTGCATAATAATTACATATCAAATGTGCCATGGAAAATTTTCACAAAGTATATATATATATATATATATATATATATATATGAACATATTACACGAAGTGAACACAATTTCCATTATATATTCTACTTTAAGGTGGAAAGAAAATTAAATTTTTTTTTCTTCTCACCTTGACAAGTTTTCCAATCGTCTTCGAGCATAAAACCATCAGGACACAAACAGAATACACGACCCATTGTTGAGATGCAGGTATGCGAACAGCCAGCGTTACGGATGCTGCATGGACCGGATTCATGGCACGTGTGGTTGTCGGATGACAGAATTGTACCTGGTAGCCCATCGCATTTGCACTCGTAACCACCAACAAGATTATGACACGTATCCTGACATGGACCGTGTCCCTCATTTGAAACACATTCGTTGATATCTGGCGATCGAAATAAATTTCCCCAAATTCCCCAATAAATTTCCTTTAATCCATCATTTATTATATCCACTAGAGTCCATTTTTTTATAAAAAAATATATCATTTTAATTGTGATTAATGGTGCCATTAAGGAAAAAAACTTTTTCTTAATTCTCAGTTATTGAAGAATTTTGAAGAATCTTTTTAATTCTAAAACAGAAATTGTACCAGTTCTTCAATTACCTTCTTTCATCAAAAGGAACTTTACTTTACGAAAAAACTAAAAATGAATGTTATTTTCAAAAAGAGTTTTTTTTTAAAATAAATATATTGCAATTCAGAATCCTCGTCTATTGCGTGCACGATTGAATTAAAATTATATATATACTTTATAGAAATTAACTTTACAAAACATTCTCAAAGTACCTAGAAACCTTGAGGAATTAAATTCTCATCACGTAATTCGTGCTTCATATAATCAACATTCTCTGCTGAAATTGAAGTTTTCTATATATATAAAAGTAAAACAGAAATGAAACAAGTTTTTTTTTTTTTTTAAAAAAGTGGCTTTTTTAATTCTTCATTATTTTGAAAAATATTTTTTTATTCTGATTTTGATGATATATATTTAAATAAGAATAAAATTCATGGTTTTTTTTATGACATAAATTCCATGAATATGAGAAACATTTTTTTTTCTCTCTCTGACTCGAGAGAAAAAAAAAGCTTATTTCAAGTTGAAGTGGCACTTACCTTTACAAGTGTATTTATCTTCTCCCAGCATCATTCCCTCAGGACATTCACAGCGATATGATCCTTCTGTATTTACGCATTTGAATTCACAATTTTTGTTGTCCTCTTCACATTCATTAATATCTAGAAAAGATATTTTGAAGAAAAAAAAAAAAACTGTTGTTTATCATAATTATATTTGTTTTCAAAATTATATATTTTCAAAACACAAAAGAAAACAACAAAGACAACAACAAAAGAAATTTGCATATATGGTTTCATTGTATAATTTTTTGGGAATTTTTTTTTGAAAAAAATAACTTACCTTTGCATTTTTGTTTTTCTGATATGAAGCCCTCTCTGCAAAAACATTCAGCCTCACCATTGATTTCCTTGCAAAAATGCTCACAATGAAATTCAGCACACATTCCGTTAAAATTTTGTCTGACCTTGCATTTTGGTACTTGACCCACCCATCGACGATTTTTGCATAGTAATCTACTTTCGTTCCAAGCCATATAGAATCCAGGGGCACATTCATAGTCAGCCTCAAGGTACTCATGTCCAGGGATGGAGGATCTTTAAAATGATTTATGGAAATTTCTTCTTTAGACAAATGGATTTTATTTTTTTTTCACCAAAATCAGTAGTAAAAGTCAACTATATAGTCAGACAATTTCTTAAACATTATTATCAGTAGTAAAGGTCAATTTCAGGACAGACACATTTTAATATTTTACAATTTTAATATCAGTAGTCAATGTTAGTGAACAGAAAATTTTTTTAACAACTTTATCATAAGTAGTAAAGCTCAATTTTAGTCAGACGCCTTTAAAATATTTTTTTCATCATAATATCAGTAGTCAGTTACAGTCAGACAAAATAAGAAAAGTACAATTACGATGTCAGTAGTAACAGTCAGTTATAGTCAGACAAGGAAATTTTTAAAAAATTTAAAATTTTACTATTTTTAAATTTTACTATCAGTAGTAAAAATCAATTATAGTCAAAGTTTTAAACTCTATACATATTATTGTTAGTAGTAAAGGTAAATTTCAATTAGACAAGGTTGAAAAATTTTTTTATGAATGATATATTAATAGTATAATTCAGTATCAGTTGGGCAAAATTAGAAAATTTGCGACTTTAATATCAGTAGTAATGGTCCGTTATAGTCAGACGAAAAGTTACATTTTTTAAAACTTTATTATCAGTAGTAAAGGTCAATTTCAGGACTGACACATTTTAATATTTTACAATTTTAATATCAGTAGTCAATGTTAGTGAACAGGAAATTTTTTTAACAACTTTATCATAAGTAGTAAAGCTCATTTTTAGTCAGACGCCTTTAAAATATTTTTAAACATTTTAATAACAGTAGCAGCGTCAGTTACAGTCAGACAAAATAAAAAAAAGTACGATGTCAGTAGTAAAATTCAGTTATAGTCAGACAAGGAAATATTTTTAAAACTTTACTATCAGTAGTAAAAATCAATTATAGTCAAAGTTTTAAACTCTATACATATTATTGTTAGTTGTAAAGGTTTTGGAAAAAATTTAGAAAAATTAAATTTGCGAGATAATCGCTCGGGAATAATGCCAAAAAATTGAGCAAAAAGTCTTAAACAAAAAATGTATGGCGCACTTTTTGATTGGTCCAGCGGATGCTGAGCTACACTCACTAAAACTGGGGAAAAATTTTTGAAAAAAAAAATTTGACAGATAATGACTCGGGAATAATGCCAAAAAATTGAGCAAAAAGTCCCGAACAAAAAATGTATGGCGCACTTTTTGATTGGTCCAGTGGATGCTGAGCTACACGCCTTTAAAATATTTTTAAAAATTTTAATATCAGTAGTAGCGTCAGTTACAGTCAGATAAAATAAAAAAAAAATACGATGCCAGTAGTAAAATTCAGTTATAGTCAGACAAGGAAATTTTTTTAAAACTTTACTATCAGTAGTAAAAATCAATTTTAGTCAATGTTATTAGTAGTATAATACACAATTAGTCAGACAGGATTAACATTTTTTTTTGTATAACTTTCGTATCAGTAGAAAAAGTCAGTTACAGTCAGCCAAAAAATTAATTTTTTTAAAAACTTTATTATTAGTACTAAAGTTGAATTTCATCCAGACAATAAATTCTTGTAATTTTTAGCTCAGTAGAAAGAGTATGTTTTAGTCAGACATAAAATCATAGTTCTAATTTCTGTTATAAATATAATTCTGTTATATCTCCAAATTGTGTGAAAATGTCATATAAAATATATTATACCATTATATATATATATATATATATATATATATATATATATATATATATTGGAACTTATTTGAAATGATATAGATGGAAATTATCAACTTTTGCACAGTGCACACGATTAAATTCCTTGCGGAGATTCACCTAACTTAAGCAAGTAGAAGTTTAAAAGTAAAACTAAAACTTGAAATTCAAGATTCTGGACTCGATCCTTATATACAATACGAATCTCTTTTTGGCTTACGATAAATTTAAGAAAAAACAAATTGTCCTTAAAAGTAATTAAAGAATCGGAGCGGAAATTCGTGATCAATAAGTCAGAAGCTTTTATTTGAGTTTTGGGATTAGCTTCATGGCGTGCTATAAATTTTGGTATTATACGTTTTCTAATTTATTACCAAATGAGGGTTTATTAGGCGTAGATATTCGGATTATATATAAAACTTAATTTTCTTCTTATCATTTTTATAATTTTTAAAAGCATTATTTTTTTAAATATGATTTTTCAAAAAGCAATAACTTTGAAAAATAGTGAAATTTCGAATAATTTATTAAATATTATACTTACTTTACATATTTGATCAATGCGTGCAAAACCAAAGGTGCTGGTAGAAATGTTCCATTTATACAGGACAAATCTCCATTGATTTCATCGTCGTTTACCTCCTCGTTGGATGTTTCCTCTTCGTCTAACGAATTTTCCAACTCTTTCCCATTCTGTGAATCATTACCGTCAGCCATGATTGGCTGCTTCCGGACGCTAGTCAATTTCCCAGCCAATAAGTTCGACGCCATATAAGCGTTGTAATCCTGCATCGTTCGCTCGAGAACTTCTTTTTCCATTTCCAAAATTGGTAAGTCTTCCTCCGTTCTTGAATAACCCAGCATACTTTGAACATTAAATCGTGGACTTTCATAACCACTTGGCTTTGGAACACGATATTGTACTTCCATTTTTTGTTGATCGTTGTAAATTTTCATTTCATTATTCAATGAATTTGAATATTCATTTTTAACAAATGATTTATCATTAGAAAAACTTTCCAAATATGGTAAATTTTCCAATTTTGATTTGGAAATTTCCCTCTCGAGATATTTGGAAAATTCTTTTTCCACTGTACCATCACTATTATGATAGTGCTTTGTTGGCTCTGGTGGAATTTGTGTTCTTGATTCAGTTGTCAGTTGCACTTGAACATTCGATGTTGTACTTTGATTATTAGAAACAACCTATAAGGACAAAAATTTTTCCCCCATGGACTTTTTTTTCTCAAATATTCTAATATTAAATATAAAAATTATTAAAAAAAAAAAAAAAAGATTTAGAAAGTAAATGAAGTTAAAATTTTTACCTCCTCAACATTTTCGCTTTTCATTCTTAATTCCTTGTCTTTGTACTTATTAGGAGTTACATTTGAAAGTTGCTGTAAAAAGATGTTGGTCTCGTTAAACCTTAAGCCACTAAAGAAAAGACGACTTGGATTATTATCATTCTTCCTTCGTTTTGCTTTACGTCGTCTACCTTTTCCGCTATGTTCTTTTTTATTCTTACGAATTTTCCTCTCTCTATTCGTGTTCTTGTCAAGGTACTTCCGCTTTCGTCGGTGCTGCCCACGGTACTTTCTCATTCGTTCAACTTGTCCTCGCATTCTTTTAATCTCATTTTCCCCAATGTCGTCAACTGAGTCCGGTCCTTTCTTAATTTGTCCTCGGATATTTTTCATTTCGTTAACACGACTTTCCTCTGTAACATCCATCCACGACTTGTTAGCTTCTTCCTTCACATGATTATGGTCGTTATCATTTTTTAGCCTCGTGATGAGTGACATTGTCGCTAAAAAAAAGAGAAAATAAAAAAAAAAATATCCCCATCTTTATAATATTTTAAAATGATAATTTTTAGTATGATAATAAGCTATATATATATATATATATATATATATATAGAGGGCTATAAAAGTTTTATAGTCAAGTGGAGGAAATTGGTCTATTAAAAAAAAATAATGAAAACAAAGATACTTTCGTAAAAAAAAGGAGGAATAGGTACTTGAGATTTTTTTATATTTTATAATTTAAATTCAACATTTATGATTTTTTTTTGGGTATGAGTTCAGTATTAGCTAAAATGTCGAAAAATTTTTATAACTTTAATATCAGTAGTAATAGTCGCTTATAGTCAGACAAAGGTTATGAATTTTACATTTTTTGATATCAGTGGTAAAAGTCAAATATATTCAGACAAGTAAACATTTTTAAATGTTATAATCAGTAGTAAAGGTCAATTTTAGTCAGACGACTTTAAAATATTTTTTTAATTTTTATATCAGTAGTAGAGTCAGTTACAGTCAGACAAAATTTAAATATTTACAACTATGATGCCAGTAGTAAAAATCAGTTATAGTCAGACAAGGAAAAATTTTAAAACTTTATTATCAGTAGTAAAGGTCAATTTTAGTCAGACGACTTTAAATTTTTTTAAATTTTGATATCAGTAGTAGAGTCAGTATAAGTCAAACAAGTTTTAAAAAGTTTACCACTATATACCAGTAGTGATAATCAGTTATAGTCAGACCAGGAAAAATTTTAAAACTTTATTATCAGTAGTAAAGGTCAATTTTAGTCAGACGTCTTTAAAATATTTTTTATTTTGATATCAGTAGTAGAGTTAGTATAAGTCAAACAAGTTTTAAAAAGTTTACAACTATGATACCCTTAGTAAACACAGAAAATTAAAAGGCATTAAAATAAGCTGCAACGCTTCTTATTTTAATACAATTTTGCTTATTTTAATCCATTTTTGTATTAAAATAAGCAAAATTGGATTAATATAAGAAGCGTTGCAGCTTATTTTAATGCCTTTTAATTTTCTGTGAAAGTTAGTTATAATCAGACCAGGAAAAAATTTAAAACTTTTTTATTAGTAGTAAAGGTCAATTTTAGTCAGACGACTTTAAAATATTTTTTAATTTTAATATCAGTAGTAGAGTCACTATAAGTCAGACAAAATTTACAACTATGATACCCGTAGTAAAAGTCAGTTATAATCAGACAAAGGAAAATTTCTAAAACTTTACTATCAGTAGTTAAAATTAGTTACAGTCAGACAATTTTTTTCAAAACTTTATTATCAGTAGTAAAGGTCAATTTTGGTCAGACGACTTTAAAATATTTTTTTATTTTGATATCAGTAGTAGAGTCAGTATAAGTCAGACAAAATTTAAATTTTACAACTATGATAGCAGTAGTACAAATTAGTTATAGTCAGACCGGGAAAATATTTAAAACTTTATTATAAGTAGAAAAGGTCAATTTTAGTCAGACGACTTTGAAATATTTTTTATTTTGATATCAGTAGTAGAGTCAGTATAAGTCAGACAAAATTTAAAAATTTACAACTATGATACCAGTAGTAAAAATCAGTTATAGTCAGACAAGGAAAAATTTCAAAAACTTTACTATCAGTAGTAAAAGAAAGTTATAGTTAAACAGGAAAATTTTTAAAAACTTTATTATCAGTAGTAAAGGTCGATTTTAGTCAGACGACTTTAAAATATTTTTTTATTTTGATATCAGTAGTAGCGTCATTTACAGTCCGACAAAATAAAAAAAGTGTATAATTACGATGCCAGTAGTAAAAGTCAGTTATAGTCAGACAAGAAAAATTTAAAATTTTACTATCAGTAGTCAAAGTTAGTTATAGTCAAACAGGAAAATTTTTAAAATCTTTATTATCAGTAGTAAAGGTCAATTTTAATCAGACAACAAGTAAATTTATTTAAAAAACTTTATTATCAGTAGGAAAATGTCATTTACAGTTAGACAACAAGTAAATTTTTTAAAATTTTATTATCAGTAGTAAAGGTAAATTTTAGTTAATTTAGTTCAGTAGTAGCATCAGTTACAGTCAGACAAAATTTAAAAATTTACAACTATCATACCAGTAGTAAAAGTCAGCTATAATCAAACAAGGCAAATTTTTAAAACTTTACTATCAGTAGTAAAAAATTAGTTACAATTTTTTTTTTGAAAGCTTTATTATCAGTAGTAAAGGTCAATTTTAGTCAGACAAACTGAAAAGTTTTTGTCACTTTAATATCAGTAAAATTCAGTTACAATAAAACATACAGTAATTATAAAATTTCAAAATTAGTAGTATGTCAGATTTTAGTCAGACATAAAAAAATTACACCTTTATGAATAGAAAAAAACAAAGTCAAAGAATTTGTAGAAAAATTCATAGTTCATTTTCAGTATCTTCATTATACATGAAATTTTCATTTTCTGGTGTTGACACTTTGCTATATATATATATATATATATATATATATATATATATATATATATATATATATATATATATATATATATATATAGAGAGAGAGAGAGAGAGAGAGAGAGAGAGAGAGATGAAAAAAAAATGAAAAGGAAGTGAAAACTGAAAATAAATAAGGCTCACTTACTAGAGTCTAGAGGAAAATTCCCATTCCTATTTCCGGTTCCCCGAGGCACTACTTCCGTTTCAGCTTCAACTTCTTGGTCCATAAGGGCCGCCTCTTCATCGGGCGTCCTTCCACCCTCGGGAGACGCGTTCCATCTAATGGAAAACAAAGTGTTTCTCGGGAAAGGAATTCCAGAATGGTTCTCTCTTCTTCTCCGCTAGACTGAAATTAAACTTAATATCGCGCGGTTCTGACGGAACGATAATTCAATTTTTTTTTTTTTTTTTGAAGCAGAGGGAACTCAACCGTCGGGGGTGTTGGCGCGAAAAGAGAAGAATATAATAAACGTTTTATATTATGGACTCTATATATATATTGAATTCACAGTCGGCTGCTTTAAGAAATAATTTTTTTTTTTTTTTAAACAAAAGTACGAAAACTAATAATATTTCAATTATATATATATTTTTTTTTATTCGTTCCGTTATTAATAATTTAATTTTAATTAATTTATCCCGATGAAAGAATAGAATATAAAATTTAATTTCTTAATTTAATGAAAAACTTGTTAAATAATAAATTATTATAAATTTCATAATTCATTTACATATAACATAAATTCATAATAGCCGTTTATTAATTTTATTTTTGATAATTTAAAATAACGTAAAAGAAGAAAAAAAATTAACTCACGAATTCTCCTTGTCTTTGAACTTTATTGATTTTGTCCTTATCTCTATGCTTCTTCTTCCAATTGCATTTTGACAACGACCTATAAACAATTAATATAAATTTTTTTTAAAAAATTTATCTTTTCTTATAAAAAAAAAAAAAATATTTTTTGTACCCCCTTATTTTTTAACAAGAATTTTTGTATATAACAATTATTTTTTTTTATAACAATTAACCCATTTTTTTTCTGGTCATAAGAAATATCTTTTATAGAAAGTTTCTGGCATGAATTCTAACTTTTGGATTATGTAAGCCATATTTTATTCTAAATGTACGAGAAAGATAAAAAGATACGGAAAGATAGTTAAATGAGTCAAGGAACGAGTAGGACGTTGAAGAAGTATCACAAAGATGTAAAAGTTCCTCTCCTGTCGGTGAATTTTCTTGGAGTATATATATATATATATATATATAAAGTATATAAGACCAAAGTTCTCTTTTATTGACGAAACTTCATTTCGAGAAATTCTAAAGTCAATGGGACTTTTGTTTCATGTTCTCCAATGTCTTGAATGTATTTCTTTTGTTTAGTCTCGATATTGGGCATTTTATTATTGTGCAAATAAAAAAACTACTATATACAATAGGTAAATAAAGTGATGAAAACGAAGAGAAAAAAAATCTATCTTTGGAATATCGTATATGAATTTATAAAAAAAATTATATCAGAAAATTTTGTTGAAAAACTTTTTTTTCTATTACATATTTGATTGTTACAATTCCTTTCAAATTTTGAGAAGATTAAAATTAAAACCTTAAAATTAGTAAATTTAAAATACATGAATAGAAAAAATTTTCTATGGCAGCGAAATAATTTGTTGCCACATCAAATTATGTTAGCTAATATAGGGACAGCGAACAAATTTGCTGTGGTGTCAAAAAAGTTTGCTGTGACGGTTAATTTTTAAAAAATTAACACTGATATTGTTTATCATAGAAAACTTTTTTGTTGTCATAGCAAAAAAATTTAGCTGTGGTTACTAATTTTGATAGATCCGATAGCAAACATAATTTAGCATTTGTAAGCAATTTCTTTTTTTCCATGTAATTTTCTGTCAATAAATTAGAAATTTAAAAAAAAAAGATTAAGAATGAAATTCTTTTATTTGTACAGGATAAATATGTATATGGCAAAGTATAATAATGATTTCTTATTCTTTAGTTGGAAATTTTAGATATTGTACAACAAAGAACAATGTTTAGTTACTTATCCTAAATAAATATTAAGTAGTACAGATCAAACGAATTTTAAACTAAATCGATAATACATTGCATTCGGTTTGATCAAACTTTGTTGGACTTTCTCAAGCACTCCACATGCATTGCTACATAATTGAATTTCAAGATGAGTTCCTTTGTTAAGGAAAAATAAAAATTACGAAATCGATTTTTTCAGCAATAAGTAAAAAATAATTTTATAAATATATATAGTTTTGAAAAAAAAGTTACTTAAAAAAATAATGTAACAATGTATAAAACAGTAAAAAATAAAATTACAGAAATTATAAATTAAAGTTGGTTTTTTTTTTGTGTTCTTATGGACACAAATAGAGGACATAAATCCATGAGATGCGCCTATTGAAGTAAAATAATTTCTACCGACAAATTTTTAGCTCTCATTTTATCATCACAAACAGATTTTTTTATTCTCCACATATAATAAGGTTTTTTTTTTGCGATATAAAATGAGCTTTTTTTGACCTACGACATTTAAAATTGTAAAGTCGATTTGAAAATGGAAATTCTTTATTTTCGTTACGATTAAAAAATTCTGACGATTCTGAAGAATCCATTAAGCTTGTTGGCATTTGCGCGAAAGAAAAATATTTTCCATTTGATATTTTTCTGTTTTTTTTTTTTTTTTTTTTTTTTTCTGCAATACGCTATACTCATGTACAAAAACGATGTATGAAATAAAGCAGAAATAGTTCCGAGAAATTACTTTGTGAACTTGAATTTAAAAAAGCCCTTTGAAAATTGAGATTTAAAATTTTTTTCAAAATCCTTTCATTTTTTTTTTTTTTTTTTTCTAAGTGCGTCTTTGTTATAAAAATGAATATTTTTCTTTTGGTTAAATTTTCTAGAGAAAAAAATTCGTTGTTTTTACTTTTGTTATTTTATTTATTTAATACTTTTTTTTTTACATTTTAATATTTGTAAAATTTTACATTCTGTAGGATAAATTTTTTTTATACATAGGAAAAAAAATTTTTACTTGGAACAGCGATAAGTTTCACTGGAATAGCGATATGTTTCACTAAAACAGTGATAGTTTTACCTATTCTAGAGAAACATATCGCTGTTCAAGATAAATATTTTTTTGCGTGCATTAAAAAATTTCTTTGTAAACGCAAAAAATATTTAATGTTTTTTTTTTTGGAAAAAAGGTGAAATATTGATTTAATATAAAAAAGTGAAGATATAAATGAAATTATTTTCAGTTGGATTTTTTTTTTTTTGGGAGGGGGCTAAAAATACCGTTAGGCACTAATTGCAAAAGTTTTGACGAGAATTAAGGGTTAATTATCCTTTTGAAATCTCTGTAGGCGAGAGGATCATCAGCAACTTTGCTACGAATTCAGGAGAATTACAGAATGCAATTTTAGGCCGTGAAATCAGTCTCAACCTCTATATAAACTTGTAATCTTGGCTTGTAATAACGAGGTAAATTCGACATTTTATTTTTATTTTCTTCCACATTTTGCAAAATTACATATAGAAATAACAAAAATATTAGAATAATAATAAAAAAAAAAATAAAATAATTATTAACATATAAAAAAGAAAATAAAGTTTTATTGAAATGTCTTTTTAAAAAAAAAAAATGTCAATTTTTCACCAAAAATAAAATAAAAATCGATAATAACTTTAAAAAATAATTAAGTTTAAATTTGACAAATTGCGATTCAACTTGTTACCTTGACTTTTTTTCTTTAAATAAATTTTTATTTCAATATTATTTTTAGAGTTTCATTTAAAAAAACCTTTTTAAATATTCATGTAATGTGTTTTTTCCAGATATATATCTTATCACGTGATTTTAAAGGAAAGGATATTATCTATTTTTTTTTTTACCTCACATTTCGTTAGCTATATATATATATATATATAAAGTTTAATTAAGCCCTGAAATGAATCTCGAGAGAATTCTTCGGTGACCAAAGACTTTAGAATCGTTAGTGTAATTAACAATTGCTTTTATCACATAGGAATTACAGAAATCTGGGAAAATCTTGAATACGCCCTTAATTTAATAAACAAAAAAATTTTTGAGTTAAATTTATTTTTAATTTTTATTTATTTTTATTTATTGAAAATTTTTATTAATCGTCAAATAATAATTATGGTAATAAATAATTTTTATAATTGTAAAAATACAAGAAAATTTAAAAATAGGAACAAAAAAAAAAAAAAAATAGCTTTTGCTATAATTGAAAGAAAAAAATGTGTCTGTAATTTTAAAGTTAAAATTTAGAAAACGTTTTTTTAATATTTATTAAAATTAAAAATTTGGAAACTCAAAAGGAGGTGATTTTTTTCGACTCTTAATTAAAGTGAATATGATAAATTTGGTGAGTATGAAAATGAAAAAAGAAAAAGACGAGAAAAAAAGGACTGTTTCAAATATAAAGGCCGTTAACTTTGGTCTGGTACTTTTCAGAGCTTACGACTGTTGTTTTTGTCATGCGGGTTTCACAGCCTTTGCAAAAACTAAAGGTACTTGTATAAATGTATATATATATATATATGTGTCTATTTGCGCTAACAATGGCAACTTGGTTCTGTAATAGAAATTTTCCACTGGAGTTTCACTCCTTTCATTACAATAGTTACCTCACCACATGAACTGAGCTTGAATCATTTTTATCAGGTTGACAGTTCTTTTCTACTTTATAAAAATTCGTTTCACTTTTTTTTTTTTTTTTTTTTTTTTTTAACGTATAGGTATAAAAAAATTTTTTTCTAACACTATATAATTAAATTTTCACATTAATATATTCCATTTTTAGGGAGATTATATTTTTTTTCCTGAATAGTAAAAATAGTTTTCTAATTATGAAAAATAGATAAAAATTTTAATCCCGACTTTTCAAAGAAATTGTGAAAATCAAAGTTTTCATATTTGTACCCAATCAAAAATTTACTAATGGCGCAGTACTGGCGCAGTACTGACAAGTGTTGGCGCAGTACTGGCACCCAGTATTGGCGCCAGAGTTGGCGTAACTTTGGGATGATAACATTTTACCAGTATTGGCTGCCAGAGTTGGCACCAGTACTGGTAACCACTACTGGTTCAGTACTGGCTGAGTACTGGCAGTTCTGTAATTTCTTGTATACGAAAAGAAAGCTTTAACTGTAACAGAGATAAGTTTCACTGCAATAGTGAAATCTCTGCACCAGGTAATACTTTTTTTTTTAGGAAAAAGTGTGTGAAATTTTTAGTAACCCAACACAAATTAAATATTAATTAAATTAGTCAACTAACTAATTAATATTTTATTATATATAAAATCGAAAACACCAACAGTTTTTATTTTTTATTAAATATAAAATATATTGCAAATCATTATTTAAAAAAATCAAAAAATAAATATAAAAATATATTTATTATTAAACCAAAGTTTTTATAATATATAAAAACAGTTCAGTAAAAATAAAAATGTTTATAAAATAATTATACAATTAGCTATTTAATTATTTTATTATTCACTTTAATTATTTGCATCAAAATAAATTTTTGAAAATTTTTTTTAAGAAAATAAAAGTTGTTTTTTAATATTTAACAAGTGTTGTCAAGAAAATTTTTTTGAATTTTTATTTTAAAAATTATTAATTTTTTTATAAAAAATTTTATTTATTTTTAGTTTGATCGTTAAAGAATTTTTTTGGTTTATTGCATATCTGAAAACAAAAAAAAAAAAAAACTTGCAAAATGTTTTGGAATTAGTCTCAGGAACCTTTTTTTTAAATAATTTTATACCCTCAAAAAAGCAAAATAAAATACCTTTTAATTTTCAAAAATAAAATCAAAGTGAAAAA